AGCTGAGGTACGCTGAGGGGGCTCACTATTTCCGGAACCCAGGATTTGAACTCAGAACTGAGGAAGCCAGAGCACTGGGCCCTGACGTCGGCCTCCCCGCTCCGGCCACCACCCACATCTCCACTTTGGCCACCACCCACACCTCCACCCGGACAGCGGGTGACCATTGTGGCCAGCAGTGGCCCTAGCGCCAGGCAGGGTGTTGGCAGATATTTTTCTCCACTGCAAGGTCTAGATCATTGGAGGTGCCAGCTGTAAGGACTGTATAGCAACGCAGCAAATCCTGGGCATGTCCAGCCGTAGACAAACTTATACAACTTTCATGGTTCACCAAAAATCGACTTTGCCTTTCCCCCAACCACTTAGAAGCACTTTTTTAAAAAATGACTGTGGATCAAATGTAAAGTAAGTGGATGGTTTAATTCGGCCTCTGTTGACAGTTGACCCAGGAACCCGGACCCTTAGAATTCAGGGAGCAAGCAGTAGAGGTCACTGTGTGTTGTCCTGTTACAGGAGCCTGTGAGGAGAGGGAGAGAGAAGTAGAGTTTAGTTCTCTTTAAAGTAGGGATTCTCAATCAACACTGGTTCAGTGAAACGAGGGTGCTAAGATACATGGGGAGAAAATAGCTGAGAAATACTGCATTGGAAGTATAAATTAGGGCTCAGAGCCATGGCTCAGTTGCCTAGTCCTCTCCCTACAAGTACCAGCATCCAACATCGGCACCACAAGTCCGAGCTGCTCCACTTCCATAACACCCAGCTCCCTACTTGTGGCCTGGGAAAGCAGTTGAGGACGGCCCAAAGCCTTGGGACCCTGCACCCGTGTGGGAGACCTGGAGGAGGATCTGGACTCCTGGCTTCGGATCAGCAGACTGCCTGTTGTAGTCGTTTGGGGAGTGAATCATCAGATGGAACATCTTCTCTGTCTCTCCTACTCTCTGTATATCTAACTTTGCAATAAAAATAAATCAATCTTTTAAAAAAAAGACAATAATGTTACCAACCAAAAAGTTAATAGTGTAATGGCTGCTGCTAGAAAGAGCAAGGAAAAGACTGAAATCAGGGATGGAATAAAAAGAGATTTTTTCACTTTCTCATTTCCTACCACCTTCCCTGCTGTCTACCAGTTCTAATGAAACAAAACAACACCCAACAAGATGGCATATACAAAAAAAAAAAAAAAAGGAAGAAAGAAAGAAATGAAAGCAGTGACAACTCCCTTCACTGAAAATCCTGACAGCTTATTTTCAGAAAAAAACAAGCAGCACAATCTAGATTTGAGACATTTGTACTCCTTATTTTTTAAAAAAGATTTATTTATTTTATTGGAAAGTCAGATCCACAGAGAGAAGGAGAGACAAAAATCCCCCATCCTCCAGTTCACTCCCCAAGGGACTGCAACTGCCAGAGCTGAGCTGATCTGAAGCCAGGAGTCAGGGTCTCCAACTTGGATGCAGCATCCCAAGGTTCCTCTGGGTCTCCCACATGGGCTTAGGATCCCAGTGGTCCGGTCCATATGCCACTGCCTTCGCAGGCCACAAACAGGGAGCTGGATGGGAAATGGAGCAGCCAGAAAATGAAACAGCACCCTTATGGGATCCCAGTGCAAAGTTAGGTTTTTAGCCACTAGGCTACCACTCCTGGCCTTGTATTCCTTATATTAAAACAACACTGATACCTGAGTGACTAAAGTTCTCACCTTGCATGCATGCGCCAGGATCCCATGGGAACACCAGTCCATAATCCCAGTAGCCCCACTTCCCATCCAGCTCCCTGCTTGTAGCCTGGGTCCCTGCACTGGTGTGGGAGACCTGGAGGAGGCTCCTGGCTCCTGGCTTTAGCTCTGGCCATTGCGGCCACTTGGGGAGTGAATCAATGGATGGAAGATCTTTCTCTTTGTCTCTCCTTGTCTCTTTATATCTGATTATTCAATTAAAAAAAAAAATCACTGGGGCAGCGTGGGTGGAGCCAGGCTGCGACACCTGCAGGCAAATGCTAAAATGAGTCTGTCTGGGCCACTGCTCCCACCAGCACACATAAGAACTGGGATGGGAGATGAGCTGCTGCTACTGCTGCTGAGTGTGACAGCTGGGACTGGAAGCAGACTAGGCTAGGCAAGGCTACGCATGAGAACTGGGACAGGAAAAACCACGCTGCGATGTGACTGTCATTGGAGCACACGTGAGCCAAAGTGCAGGCTGGTTGCCACTGGGGTAAGTCCTGTAGAACTACTTGGAAAGTGCAAGATCTGGGACTGGGAGTAGATCCGGCAGGGAAACTGTGGGCACCTTCTTTGATGGGCTGAACTCCCACTGGCAAGCATGAGAACTAGGGCTGGAGGTGGGCCTGTCTAGACTGGCAGTGGCACCCACCAGAATGAGTGTGAGCTGGATAGTTGGATCAGTTGGATGGAACTTGGCTCCAGTGCCCATTGATGTGTACAAGAACTGAATGGGATGTGGGACAGATCAAACCAGTTTGTTGCATACAGTGGCATGCCCAAGAACCAGGGTTGGGGACTGGTTTATTGGAGGTTATTTGGGGTTGCTCCAACTAGGCTGCAGTTGCTGCTGGTATAAGTGAGAGCAGAATGTGTGGTGTGCAGGGTTGGCATATGAGATGAGGTTGGGGACACAACTGACCAGATGATGTCAATCATCAGTATGTGTGTGTAGGCTGATATGGGTGATGGACTGAGTTGGACCTCACACTGGCTGGCACATACAGGAGTTAAGTTGGGGTCACCTCTGGCGAGGTTTCTTTTGAGCCTCCCCCAATTGTATGGCTAAGAACTCCAATCATGGTGAAAATGAAAAGGTCTGTGGTCTGGCCTCAGAGTGTATGTGTCAGAACGGGGTCTGCATGGTTGCTGAGGCCAGTACAGTGGATGGCATGCCCGGATGCTCATTGAGGCCTGCAGATGACATTTAGTACCATTGAATGCAGAACAAATTGGACAGCTCTTCCAGACAAATATCTGACATGTCCGGTGGACTGTGTCAGCCCATGGACCTTGGATGGATTTCCTCAACCTTGGAGCAACAAAATCAATAACATACTAGAACTATCAAAACTATTTAAGCAGTATCCTTGGAACATGCTGCATATCAGGGACCATGGATGATGTCAGGTGGCCATCCCCAGTCCACGGTATTAATGCCGTTGAGCTGCTGGGAGAGGCCATCTCTACTTCTCTCTTCACTTTCCCCAAATATCAGAAGAAAAAAGGATATTGGAGACAGTTGTTTCATCTGCTTCCCCCATTCCTAGACCCTCCCCACCCTAATCAGGGGCATGTATCCCTCTCAACTATATAAGCATAATCAAAAATAAAATGAATTGGGCCCAACGCAGTAGCCTACTGGCTAAAGTCCTTGCCTTGCATGCGCCAGGATCCCATATGGGTGCTGGTTTTGTGTCCTGGCTTCTCAACTTCCCTTTCAACTCCCTGCTTTTGGCTTGAGAAAGCAATAGAGGACAACCCAAATCCTTGAGACTCTGTACTCACATGGAAGATCCAGAAGAAACTCCTGGCTCCTGGTTTGGGTTCAGTTCAGCTTTGCGTATTGTGTCTACTTAAGGAGTAAACCAGCAGATGCAAGATCTTTCTGTAAATCTGACTTTCCCATAAAAATAAATAAATTGTAGCAAAAAAGGTAAAACAATACCACATATCACAATAATCTCCATGGTTATGGTCACTTTGTCTCATCTGACTTCTAGCTTCCGTGTAGTTAAAACTCTGCACTCAAACATTCACAGTATTAGCATAAATCTCATCATCTTTCTCTCTTTACCACTGGACTAAATTTCACATTAAAAAACTGCCAAAGGACAGGCAATTGGTTTAGCACCTAGATTGCCTGCCACTCACATGAGAATGCTTGGGCTCCATAGCTGGATCCACTTCTTACTCCAACTTCCTGCTCAGGCAACCCCCTGGAGGTAGTATAGAGGCCTCAAGTTCTGAAAACTTGGGTTCCTACCACCCACATCCAAGACCCGGATCGAGTTCCTTACGCTTGGCTGTTGCAAGCATTGGGAACTCTCTTTTATTGGAAGGGCAGATTTACAGTAAGAAGGAGTGACAGAAAAATCTTCTACCTGCTGGTTCACTCCCCAAATAGCCGCAATCACTAGAGCTGAGCTGATCTGAAGCCAGGAGCCAGGAGCTTCTTTCAGGTCTCCCACACAGGTGCAGGGTCCCAAGGCGTTGGGCAGTCCTTGACTGTTTTCCCAGGCCACCAGCAGAAGGCTGGATGGAAAGTGGAGCAGCAAGGACAGGAACTAGTGCCCAAATGGGATCTTGGGACTAGCAAGCAGAGGATTAGACAAATTGAGTCATCACACAAGCCCCAGAGATAAATATATTTTGAAAAAATATTTTTAAGTCAATATTTTGAACTGCAAATCGGCGTACGTCGAAGCAAGACGCTCATCAAAATATTCATATTCAATTGCAGATGGTAGCACTGTGATCAAATTTTTTATTGTTTGTGTTGTTCAAAAGTGCCTCCAAAGGACTTTTTTAGGACGTTGTCTACCTTTTGATTCTGGCAGCGACTGATTAAGTCATCGTAATTAAATAGCGTTTTCAACCGTGAAGCTTTTCCAAATCTCCAAAGTCCAGATAGGTTTTAAATTTCTTGGCGCCTTTGTTTCCCTTGGTGCGACTCGCCACGGAGGTGTTTTGATCCTCTCGGCTCTCCGTCGGCCCAGCCTCCAGAAACAGTCGCAGACTCCACCCCCGGCGCTCCGGACGGCGCGAAAACCCAATTGACAAGAACGGGCTCGGAAGCCCCGCGGTCCGGCCCGCGTCCCGCCCGGCCCGCCGACCCCGGCCCCGGCCCGCAGCGCTCCTCGGGGGCTCGCGGCCCGCCAGGCCCCGCACGCCGCCGCCGCGCCCGCAGGCCGCGCTGCCCGCGCTTTCCCGCCACCTCTTTCCGCGTCCGACGGGGCTGCGTCGGGCCGGGCCTCGGCGCCTTGCCCGGGGCCGGGGGTGTCGCGGCCGAGGCTGAAGCGGACCCCATGGCCTGGGCACCGGCCCCGCTGGGCCGCGCACGGTGCTAGGGCCGGGGGCAGCGGCGAGCATGGTGGGCGTCCTGGCCATGGCGGCGGCGGCGGCTCCCCCTCCGGTGGAGGACTACGAGATTGAGGTGCGGCGGGGTGCGGGCCGTCCCCGGGGGTCGTGGCACCTGCTGACGGACAGACGCCGGGGTCGCGGGGTGGCTGTGGGGTCGGCGTCGGGCAGGATGTGGGACCCCGGCTTGGCGTGTCAGTCACGGGCATCCCACGGGGAGTGGACACAGAACCCTGGCCTCTCCGCCTGCTGTGTTCCAGTTCCCGTGACAGACTCGGGGCAGGCACCCCTGGGAGCCGCCTGGTAGGGAGAGAAGATGTGTATTGATTTGGTGGCTTCTCTCACGGTTTGGAATGAAGTGACGTTTGTCTGCTCGGTGTTGGTTATGCTGGTAGGACACGCTCGGGCTTGTCTCTCGTGTTTGGGTTCTGGCACTTGGCGTCACTCAGGTCTTGATTTTGCGTGGGCAGTTGTGTCGGTTTTCCACGGACAGTGTGTTTTCGGTGCTTTCAGAGCCTCTTGCAAGGACCCCTGTGAGAGTTAGAGCCTTTTACACATTATGTCGCTCAGTATCAACCTTGAGATGAAGGTTATCTGTTTTACAGAGAGTTAAAGAGTGGTTAAAATGCAGTTAATTTTTTGGAAACGACTTTGATTGGAAAGCCAGATTACAGAGAGAAGAAGAGACAGAAATATGTGGTCTGCTGGGTCCCTCCCCAAGCAGCCAGGAGCTTCTTCCGGGTCTCCCATGCGGGTGCAGCCGTCCTCGGCTGCTTTTCCAGGCCACAAGCAGGGAGCTGAATGGGAAGTGGAGCTGCCGGGATTAGAACCGGCACGCAAATGGGATCCTGGCGTGTTCAATGCTAGGACTTCAACCGTTAGGCTGCAACGCTGGCCCAGTGCAGTTAAACTGTAAAAAAATTAAAAGTAGTTAGCTTCACAGCCAACCCTGGTACCACCTCAAGTTAAGTAAATAAAAGCAACTCATTAACATTTTTAATACATTTAACACTTCATTTTAAAATACGCATTTCATCTGCCTGTGATTTATTTTGCCTCATACTTATCCAGATGGTTAGAACTTTATCCCAGTACCAGTTACTAACTACTCATTTGCACACTAACTTTTTTTCCTGGGTGTGTGTGTGTTTTCCTAGTTGACCAGAATGCAAGCCCTTGAGGACTACTGATTAGGGTGGGGTAGGTTGAGGCATGGGGGAAGGTAGGTGGGTGGGACAAATTCTTCCAATTTCCCGCTGCTCTTCTCCAGAGTGCGATGCTCTCTGCTTGCATGCTATTGATACCACCTTGTCACACTCAGGTCTGGCTTTTCTAATCTTGTTCCCTTGAGCTGCGGTCACTGCTATCCTTTTTTTTTTAAAGGTTTTTATTATTTGTTTTTATCTAAAGGTAGATCTACAGAGAGGAGAGACAAAGATCTTCCCTCTTCTTTTTTTTTTTTTTTAAAGATTTATTTTCATTGGAAAGGCTGATATACAGAGAGGAGAGACAGAGGAAGATCTTCTGTCCAATGATTCACTCCCCAAGTGAGCGCAACCGCCGATGCTATGCCAGATCTGAAGCCAGGAGCCTCTTCCGGGTCTCCCACGCGGGTGCAGGTTCCCAAAGCCTTGGGCTGTCCTGGACAGCTTTCCCGGGCCACAGGCAGGGAGCTGGATGGGAAACGGGGCTGCCAAGATTAGAACCGGCGCCCATATGGGATCCCGGGCGTGCAAGGCGAGGACCTTAACCACTGCACCATCGCACCAGGCCGATCTTCCCTCTTCTGATTTATTCTCCAAGTGGCTGTAATAGTCGGTGTTGAGCTAGTCTGAAGCCCAGAGTCTCTTCCGGGTCTCCCACGCGGGTGCAGGGTCCCAAGGCTTTGGGCTGTCCTCCACTGCTTTCCCAGGCCACAAGCAAGGAACTGGATGGGAAGTGGAGCAGCTAGGATTAGAACCAGCGGCACTCATTGGGGATCCTGGCGTGTTTAAGGCGAGGACTTTAGCTGCCAGGCCACCGTGCTGGGCCCTATATGAAATATTAAAATGCAAATAAAAAATTTTTTTAAAGATTTATTTTTATTATTTTTTTATTGGAAAGGCGGATATACAGAGAGGAGAGACAGAGAGGAAGATCTTCCATCCGATGATTCACTCCCCAAGTGAGCGCAACGGGTCGATACTATGCCGATCCGAAGCCAGGAGCCTCTTCCGGGTCTCCCACGCGGGTGCAGGTTCCCAAAGCTTTGGGCCGTCCTCTGCTGCTTTCCCAGGCCACAGGCAGGGAGCTGGAAGGGAAGCGGGGCTGCCGGGATTAGAACCGGCGCCCATATGGGATCCCGGCCGTGTGAGGCGAGGACCTTTAACCACTTGCGCCACCGCGCCGGGCCCAGATTTATTTTATTTTCATGACAAAGTCAGATATACAGAGAGGAGGAGAGACAGAGAGGAAGATCTTCCATCCAGTGAGTCACTCTCCAATTGACTGCAATGGCTGGTGCTAAGCCAATCTCAAGCTAGGAGCCAGGAACCTCCTCCACGTCTCCCACATGGGTGCAGGATACCAAGGCTTTGGGCTGTCCTTGACTGCTTTCCCAGGCCACAGGCAGGGAACTGGATGGAAAGTGGAGCTGCTCGGATTAGTACCGGCACCCATATGGGATCCCGGTGTGTTCAAGGCAAGACTTTAGCTGCTAGGCCACTGTTCTGGGCCCTATATGAAACATTAAGATGCAAATTAAAATTTAAAAAATATTTTGAGAGAGAAAAAGAGAGTCAATCACCTGTAGTTTGCTTTCTGATTCCCAAAATGTCTGTTGTCTGGTGGGTGCTCAGGCTGTGCTGGGCTCCCTGGCCAGGAACTCAACCCAGGTGTGTGTTCTACTGGTGTCCAGTACACACCTAGCTGAGGGAGCCTGTTAAACAGGAACTTGCATCAGAAGTGGAGCTCTGGGCCCTGTGTAGTGGCCTAGTGGCCAGAGTCCTCACCTTGAATGTGCTAGGATCCCATATGGGCGGGCACTGGTTTGTATCCTTGTGGCCCACTTGCTATCCAGCTCCCTGCTTGTAGCCTGGGAAAGCAGTTGAGGATGGCCCAAAGCCTTGGGACCCTGCACCTGCATGGGAGACCCAGAAGACAAGAGGCTCCTGGCTTTGGGTTAGCTCAGCCCAGCAGTTGTGGCTGCTTGGGGAATGAATGGATGAAAGATCTTCTTTCTCTTGGTGTATCTGCCTTTCCAATAGAAATAAATAAATAAATCTTTAACACACACAAAAAAAGTGGAGCTCCAGTAGCACTCTGTCGTGTCCTCAGGGGCGTGATAAACAGAGGCCTAACTCTTTCTTTCTTTCTTTTTTTTTTTTTTCTGGGATTATTTTTATGGTTTTGTTTTGTTTTTGTGGAATGCCCCAGAAGACTGGTTCCTCGCTGTGTATTGGCTCAGCTCCAGTAGTTGTGGCCTCTTGGACAGTGAGCCATAGGTGGAAGATTGATCTGTTGCTGTTTCTCTCTTTCTCTGTATAAATCTGCCTTTCCAAAAAAAAAAAAAAATGCTTAAATTAGTGTTCAGTTTGATATGACACTGATTTTTAGGCAGGTTTCTTTCTGATATATTGTGTTTTCTACAAACAAAATTTCCTTTTTTGTCTTAATCTAGTTACTTAAGATTAAAATCCATGTTTAAAATGTATATTTCAATTATTTTGCTTGAAATAAATGCCTTTTTTTTTTCTTTTAAATTACTAGCCGTGCAAGAAGCGAAAGAAAGACGATGACAGATCTTCCTGCAAAACCATTACAAAATATTTATCTCCATTAGGGAAGACTGGGGACAGAGTTTTCTCACCTCCAAAATCTAGTAATATTATGAATTATTTTAGAAGGACTCCACCCAGCAGTGAGAGAAGACATTCCATGAAGGAGTGCCAGATAAAGTCTGCGCCATTGCCCACCGACCTTGGCAAAGAGCAGGGGCTGCCTTTGGAAACACTCTCACAAGTAGAGGTTAAGAAGAAAGGAAGGAGGGTTAATCTGTCTCAAAAACTCAATGATATTAAAATGGAAAATGAATCTCCAATTGAAATTAGTAGTGATGAGAGCAAAGAAGACTGTAGTTTTAACACCCTTGAGGACTGTAACCCTTCCGTTTTACTGCCGAAGAAATATGTCAGTGCACCTGGAGAATGCAATCAAGATAGCAAAAACCAATCAAGTATCGGGACCTCCAAGAAACATGTTAAGAAAGTAAATCCTAAGAAAGGGGCCGCAAAAAATGATGACAAGAGGTTGAGGAAAAGGAGGCTGCGAGATACAGTAGATATGTCTGAATGTTTGCCCCTGACGGAGGAACAAAATCTGCTTAAAAAGAATGATAGAGACAGTCAACAGATCATGCCTTCCCTTGCTAAAGAAATCAAGAACACTACAAAGGATGCGGACTTGAGAGATCATGTAACTGAAAGAGACCAGTCGCATGACAATACAGTAACTGTCTCCTATGAAGAATTCCTGAAAAGTCAGTGGGAACATGAGGTGGAGCAGGTACCAGATTCTACCGTGTCAATTTGTGTTCCTTCTGAAAGTGTCGAAGAAATAGTCAAAAGTAGTGATGTGAGAGAAATAGAAAACTGTGACATTTCTCCACAGGTACGTTTTAAGACAGTTACTGTGCTTGCACAAGTTCACCCTATCCCCTTAAAAAAATCAGGAAAAATACCCCCAATTTTCTTGAAACAGAAGCGTTCTGAAGTGGAAAATAGCCTATCTGATCCTGAGAATGAACAGATGATCCAGAAAAGGAAATCAAATGTTGTCATACAGGAAGAAGAATTAGAATTGGCAGTTTTGGAAGCTGGAACTTCTGACGCTGTGAAACCGAAATGCACTCCGGAAGAAAGACAGCAGTTCATGAAGGCATTCAGGCAGCCCACATCAGATGCACTGAAGGATGGAGTCAAAAAACCCGACAAACAGAAAGAACTCAGTGACAAATCTTCCGGGGAGGAAGGAAGAGATGGCAGTGCTAAAAAAATCGTGGACGGTACTCACACTCAAATGCTTGCAAGTAACGACTGTGCACAGGCTCGCAAGGAACGCTGTCCTAAGAAAAGTAAAAAGGTCAAGAAAAAGGGAAAGAAGACCTCAGATATTGGGGTTCCTCAGGCTGAAAACGCAGAAATAAATACTCAACAGCAAGAAGCAATCTTTTCCTTTAAAAAACCACAACGCCAGAATAGGCTTAGAATGAGTTTAAGACGAAAGAAAGCAGGCGTTTTCAGAAGCACCCCAGTTAAGAGTAAAAGACTTGTTTGTGAAAACCCAGCAAGTGATGACCCTCCACGCAAGAATTACAAACCAAGAAAGACGAGCACAGCAGTTAAAGATAAGGTTACTCCTTCTAAAGCCAAGCCTGAGGAGAGCTTGGTGAATATTTCCACACCCAAATCAACCAGAAGATCTGTAAGACACAGCACGCCCACTATGGTGACGATGAGAGGGACCTGTTCCGAAGGGGCCCCTGAGGTCAGTCCAGCTAAGGCGTCCACTCCCAGAGCAGCCAGCTTTGTGGACAGGCACGGCCTCTACACAGCGGAACTGATAACAGTACCCTCTGACTCAGAGAGCCCCATCAGGTTAAGTTTTGTGTGTTTCTTTGGTTCTAAAGTTCTAGTATTCTGTCTGTAGTACTAGCTAGAAGGAAACTACTTCAAACACTGGAGAGGATTTTTGTTATTAAGTGATTTATAAAAAGGAGAATTGCTTTCAAGATGTTTCTATGTTTAATTAATTTTCGAAGATTTATTATCTGGAGTTGATATTAGAAAGACATATCTGCTGGTTCACTCCCAGATAGTTGCAATGGCCAGGGCTGGGCCAGGCTGAAACCCAGGGCGTGGAACTCCATCTAAGCCTCTCATGGACAACAAGGGCCAGGTACTTGGCTCATCTTTTCTTGCTTTCTCTTTTCTGGAGATTTCTTAATTTTTTTTTTTTTTTATTTGAATAGCAGAGTTACAGACAGGGTCTTCTATCCATTGATTCACTCCATAATGGCTAAAATAGCCCGGACTGGACCAATCTGAAGCCAGGAGCCTGGAGATTTTTCCAGAGCTTCCACGTGATGCAGGGGCCCAAGCGCTTGTGCTGTCCTCCACTGCTTTCCCAGGCTGTTAACAGGAAGTTCAGTTGGAAGTACAGCAGCTGAATCTCAAACTTGCACACATGAGATGCCTGCCTTGCTGCGCCCACTTAACCTGATGCATGATGACACTGGGGGCTCCCTGCTTTTACCAGGCACACCAGCTGGGACTTGCACTCATGCTCATATGGGATGCCAGCCTCATAGGCTGTGGCTTAACACACTGCACCTAAATGCTAACCCCTTCATTTAATTTAGGGAAAATTTCAGAAGAATTTTAGATATATTTTGGATGAGTCTTAACTCTTAATCAGAGTTGCTAACCCTGGAGAAATATCCCTGAAATGTGACAAATAGATTAAAAAAAAAAACATACAGAATGTTATTTTTTGGGTAAATAGATCCATGTGCTGTGAAGAACATACTTGTGTTCTGTTTCTGGGTAATGTAAGAATGTTTGGGGGATGTACTGGTGGAGGGCACAGTGGCTCAATAGTGTTGGGATCCCAAATGGTCACTGACTTGAGTCTCACCTACTCCACTTCTGATCCAGTTATCTGCTTATGGCCTGGGAAAGCAACGGACAGTGGCATAAAGACATGTGATCCTATACCCACGTGGAAGACGTTGGCTCTGGCCATTGTGACCATTTAGGAAGTGAACCAGCCAGCTGATGGAAGGTTTTTGTATCTCTCCTTTCTGTCAATCTGCCTTTCTAGTAAAAATAATATTTGAAAAATGATTCTAGGGCCTAATTTTCTGGAAAGAATATTTCTACAGGCAATAATTTATAAATTTGGCTTAGTTTTCAAGCAGTAGTTTGAAACTGAATAGGGTTTTTGTTTGTATTTTCGATGCTTTTTTAAAGGAGTTTAGAAATTGGAACCTTGACTGATTGTTATCTATGTTTAATTGGGATCCTTGCATGTTATGATCAAGATGTTTCTGAATACCTTCTCTTGTTTTCAGGATGAAGTTCACCAGAATTACCACTCCCAAAAAGTCTAAGAAGAAATCTAAAAAAAAATCCAAGAAATCAGAAACAACTGATGAAGATTTTATTTCTCCAACGAGAAAGGTAATATTAGAGTGATCTTTCTTTCTTTTTTTTTTTTTAAAGATTTATTAGTATTGGAAAGGCAGATATACAAAAAGGAGGAGATACAAAGAGAGATCTTCCATCCACTGGTTCACTCCTCAACTAGTAGCAAAGGTTGAAGCTGTTCTCATCCAAAGCCAGGATCCAGGAGCCCCTTCCGGGTATCCGACACAGGTGCAGGGTCCTAAGGCTTTGGGCCAACCTCGATTGCTTTCCCAGGCCACAAGCAAGGAGCTGGATGGGAGGTGGGGCTTCCGGAATTAGAACTGGCGCCCATATGGGATCCTGGCACGTTCAAGGCGAGGACTTTAGCTGCTAGGCCATTGTGCCAGGCCTTGCAACCAAATTCTGATCTCTGTTTTAGATAGCTTTCTATGTGATGCTTTACATGAACATAAATGTGTTTCTAGATAATTTCTGGTAAGAAATAAAGGCAGGGGCTGGAGTTGTAGTGCAGTAAGTTTAACCACTGCTTGTGAAGCCAGTATCCCATATCAGAGTACAGTCTCAGGTCCCAGCTATTCTAGATACTTCCACTCCACCTCCCTGCTGACGTGTCTGGGAGATCACACGGGCTAGTGTGTACTTGAGCCTGCTACCCATGTGGGTAACCCACATGGCGTTCCAGGCTCCTGCTTGGACGTGTCCCTGCCTTGGCTGTTGTGGCCATTGAGTAATGAGTATGTGGAAGATTCCACTCCCTCCCTGGTTGCTAGTCTGTTTATTTGAAAATAAACACTCCAAAATCATTTAAGAAAAATCACTATTTTAACGTAATTGTCTTGTAAGATTGGAATAGCCATTTCTTTGTTGACTGATGTGATTTGTGGCTGTATGTATTTTTATTGCATATTCTTAATTTTTTGTATTAATACAATTTTTTGTCTGTTATTTGTTTCCCCTTTTTTTTTGACTAGGCAAGCAGCGCTTCAAAAAATGTATCCAAAGCAAAGCAACTAATTGAAAAAGCGAAAGCTTTACACATCAATAGAACAAAGGTAGCCGAAGAAGCAGTTGTACCATTAAGGCGCTCCTCTAGACGTCAGATGCTTTCTGAAAAGAAAACATTGTCAAAATCAGAAGTAAGTATTACAGACATCTCTTGTTATAATTTATGTCTTGTTTTACTGTTTGGAGTGATTGAAACCATTATAAGCAAAGAAAATGGCATCATGGGATAACCTTCAAATGATAGAGAATATTTTTTTCAGTTCTGCTTTACAAACCTTTGGCTTATAAAATATAGTCAGTCTAGGGCTGGTGTGGTGGCATAGCGAACTAATTGTCTGCCCTGACGTGCCAGCATCCCGTATGACAGCCAGTTTGTGTTTTAGCTGCTTCACTTCCAATCCAGCTCCCTGCTTGTGGTCTGGGAAAGCAACAGAGAATGACTCGAAGCCATTGGACCCTGTTGACACATAGGACACTTAGAGGAATCTCCTTGCTTCGCTTCGGCTCAGCTCTGGCCATTGTGGCCATTTTGAGAGTGAACCACTGGATGAAAGAGCCTTTCTTTCTTTTTCTCTGTAAAATATGCCTTTCAAATTAAAAGAGTAAATATTTAAAAGAAAGAATTAATATAGTCTGAATCCTCAGGTCACTGCAGATCTTTTTTTTTTTTTTTAATTTTTTATTTTAATGCAAAAGTAGGTTAACAGAGAAGGAGATCCTCCCCAAGTGGCTTCAGCAGCCAGAGCTGAGCTGATCTGAAGCCAGGAGCCTCTTCTGGGTCTCCCACACAGTTTAGGGTTCCAAGGCTTTGGGCTATCCTCAAGACTGCTTTGCCAGTCCCAAAGCAGGGAGCTGGATGGGAAGTAGAGCAGCCAGAATACGAACTGGTGCTCATATGGGATCCTGGCACATGCAAGACAGGGACTCTATATCACCTCATCAGTATTAACTACTTAGGTTCTCAGATCTGCTGTTTCTTACTTCAGGGCTTTCTTGGGGGAACCCTTTATTTTGCTAAATAACGGGCTCAAGTTTCAAGTGTAGTGATGCTGACAATTTGCAAGTGCCAGAAAATAATTGCATGCTAATATTACTAAGATGTACAGAATGAATTTTATATTTGTATGTTGTGATGGAGAAAAAGGGAAATTTGCTTGTGTTTTTCTATGACATCTCAACCTGCAAAAGTTATCGATACAGTGTTTGATAAGATATATACAGGTGTGTGTATAGAAAGCACAGTACTGGGCATTCAGTACTCTAAGGTTTCAGGTGTCTACTATTGGTTAGCATTGGAATGTATCCCTTGCTGTGAGTAGGGAGTGCTGACGTACTAAAGAAATGTCTTTCTTATTTTATCTTAAGGACTCTGTCATAATAATAGATTCAAGTCTGACTTCTCTAAAGCATTCAGAAAAAAATCAGAAGAAACTTCCGAGTTTGAATGATGTACTAGGAAAAAAAATTAACAAGCCTCCTAAAAACATACCCGGTAAGCAGATTCAACATTAAGATGAATTTTGGGATATTGGGGGAGATCATTCTAAAGTATTCATGACAGAGATTTAGTCTGTCACAAAATCTAAAATTTTATTGTATTTATTTCTTCATCGTTTGGTTGAATGATTTTGAAGGCGGAGATACAGAGAGAGGGAGAGACAGACTGATCTTTCATGTGCTGGCTGCATCCTTGTTTGCCGTGTATGGGCAGAATCACAAGTCCTTGGTCCATCCTCCACTGGTTTCCCAGACTATAAGCAGGGAGTTGGATGGGAAGTGGAGCAGCCAGGAATAGAACCTATGCTTATATATGGGTTGCTGGTGCTGCAGGCAGAGGATTAACTTGCTACAACTGCACCGAGGCAAGTTAGTTCGCTTTTCTAAATGTCTAGTGCAGTGGGGTCTGGGCCAGACCAAAGCCAGGAATTGAAACCCAACCCGGACCTCCTACCGCCCATGTGAGTAGCAGGGACGCACCATCGCTTCTTCCCAGAGTGTGCATTCATAGAAGCTGGAGCTGGAGAATGCGATGTGGGTCTCCTAGCCATTCACCTCCCTCCTAGGCTGGATGCCTGCCCTCCCTAAAAAAGACTTGAGATCTCAAGGACTTTAGATTCCGCCACATACGTGGCAAACAAGGAAGCTCCAGAAGTAGATTGTGGGAGTCTTTAGTTATAAACGAACACTTCTCCCAGAGATTCTGATATTGGCAAGTTGGAGGAACAGGTCCGTGTATAGATAGTTTTGTTTGTTAAAATTTTAAATAAGTGTATTTAAATTTAAATTTAGGTTTATTAATTTTTAAAATTAAAAATTAAAAGCTAAATTAAAAAAATTTTTACAAAATAGCTAAAGGTAAGTAAAGAAGATATGCATTAATACTAACCTAAGTATTTTTCTCAGGAAAAATGAAGGTTGCTCCTTTATTCCTTGCCAGAAAGCCTCAAAAAACAACTGGTCCTGTCCTTGGCTTTGATGAAAGCAGGTTAGTTCCATACAAATTTTAAAATGCTGAAGTATTTTATGGAGTATGTTTTGTGTGTACTTGCTTACTTGCTGTGACAAGCAAGAATGTTAATTGTCCTTTGAAGTTTCTGTAACTTCATTTTAAAAGATGGCAAAGGTCACATTACCTTCACTTTTGGAAAACCTAGCTTTCCTGAATTTTTTTTTCTTCCCTCTCTAGACAAAATAGAATTAAAAATATTTTTAAGTACTTTCATGTACCAGGTATTGTTTTTGGTCCTAGGGGTGTTTTGATGAAAAAGATAAGATATAGTCCCTCTTTTCACGAGGCTTATAGTTGAGAGGGAAGACAGTCTATGATTAAGCAATAATTGGGCCAACAGTTGGAAAGGGACAGATTTCTGTTAGAGTCTGTATGAAAGATGCTTGTTGTGGTCACAGAAGGCTTCTCTGAGGACATGGCAGTTGAGCTGAGATCTGAAGGAAGAGCCAGAGCTGCTAGGGGAAGCAGCCATGTTCCTGTCAGAGGGAGCAGTCTGTTCCATCCCTACAGCTCTAAGTATGACAGTCAGATTGAATGGTGCTTGACTTGAACATGAGAGTAAGGGGGAGAAGACATGGGTTCAGCTGGAGGGGTGATGGGTGCCAGCTGAAGCAGGACCCAGGACCATGTTGATGAATTTTGTTAGAAGCAGTGAGAAGCAGCCCAGCAGAGATTTTTAACCGCGAATGTGAATATAAACAGGAAGTCTTATTTACATGATGAGTCTGTCTAATGATGTTGTCAAGAATGGGATGGAAGCGCATGTAGCCCGGGTATGTGTGACATGATGGAGAAGTGAGCTCGCCTGTTAGCACTGGCACCTGGAAAGAGATGAATCCCAAAACCCTTGGTGATCAATTAGGTATGGATAATGAAGTGAGGAAAAGAAAAAAAGATATTAAAACAACACTACAGTTCTAGTTTATGCAGCTGGAATGATACATCGGAAAGAGAACAAATTTCCCTAAATCCTGGATTAAGGCTATTGATTTTTTTTTTACTGTTCCAATTTAAGGAGTGAGCTTAAATGTGCAAATATTAACCAAACAGTCTTGACACATGAATTATATTAAGATATAAAATATTTCTTCTACTCCTGGAAAAATACTATATACTCTTTCATTTATCTCCCCACCGACATCGTAACAAAATGTAACTGCTCTTCTGATTTCTCTTCCCACCAGCCAGACTGTTGTCTCTTGGCATAGATTGTCTTTATCTGTTGTCAACTTTTCTTTCTGTCTCCTTTTTTTTCCCCCTGAAAATTTATTGATTGATTTGAAAGGTAGGTTTACAGAGAGAAGGAGAGGCAGGCAGAGAAGAAAGATCTTCCCTCTGTTGATTGAGCCTATATGACCTCAGTGGGCGGAACTGCGCTGATTCCGAGGGCAAGGAGCTTGCAGGTTGCTGTCAGGCTAGTTGCAGGGGCAGCACTTGCACAATCTTCCACTCTTTTCCCAGACACATTAGCAGGTACTGGATCCGAAGTAGCGTACCGGTTCTAAAGCCATTATCTGTATGCCATGCAAGCATTGCATATGGCAGCTTTACGCACTATGCCACTGCACTGGCCCCACGTAGCTGTTCTAAATATCCACACATTTAACTAATCAAGCTTCATTAAGATTAAATAGTACATAAAATACTATGCTCCCAGTTGCTGCAAATAGTCTGAGTTTAATGAATGTGTATCTGTGTAAATACTGCAACAATAAAGATAGAGAACATTTTTATCACTTTCCTTTTAAAGATATTTTTTCTTATTGGAAAGGTAGATATACAGAGAGGAGGAGAGACAGAGAGGAAGGTCTTCCATCCATTGATTTACTCCCCAAGCGGCCGCAACTACACTGATCTGAAGCCAGCAGCCTCTTCTGGGTCTCCCAAGCGGGCTTCAAGGTTCTAATGTCCCAGGCCACAAGCATGGAGCTGGGTGGGACGCGGGGCACCAGGATTAGAATTGCCACCCACTGGGCTCTGTGCTGTGGCCTAGCAGCTAAAGTTCTCGCCTTGAATGCGTCGGGATCCCATATGGGCTCCGGGTCTAATCCCGGCAGCTCCACTTCCCATCCGGCTCCCTGCTTGTGGCCTGGGAAAGAGGACGGCCCAAAGCCTTGGGACCCTGTACCCATATGGGAGACCTGGAAGGAGGTTCTGGGCTCCTGGCTTTGGATCGGCAAGTACTGGATGGAGGATCTACCCCTCTGTCTCTCCTCCTCTCTGTGTGTCTAACTTTATAATAAAAAAATAAATAAGTCTTTTAAAAAAAAAAAATTGCCAACCATATGGAATTCCAGCATGTACAAGGCGAGGACTTTAGCCACTAGGTTACCGCACTGGGCCAATTTTTGTTGCTTTAAAGAGAATGTTCCTTAATGTCTCTGCAGAATTCTTTCAAACCTATAGAGCTTGTGCTTAGCTTTGTGTTGATATAGATTTGTTTTTTTCTAAATCTCATGTAAAAGTATAAGTGAAAAATAAGTGAACTTTTGTTTCTTCTTTCAAAAACTGACAGTCCATTCCTTTTATTGTTAGATTTATTCCTTGTGTGAGTGTACAATTGGTTGCCCATTCTTTTTTTGAAGGTCTTTGATTATTTCTAGTATTTACCTATGATTTAAAAGGCTTCTATGAACATTTTCTTTTTAATTTTAAAAAATTTGTTTTTATTGGAAAGTTAGATTTACAGAGCGAAGACAAGCTAGAGAGAGCCATCTTCCATCCACTGGTTCACCCTGAAATGGCCACAGTGGCCTGACTTGAACTGATCTGAAGCCAGGAGCCAGGAGCCTCCTCTGGGTCTTCCACATGGCTTTAACAGGCCAAGGACTTGGACAATCCTCCACTGCTTTATCCTGGTACTTGAAAGAGGGATTAACTAGTTGAGTAGTTTCACTGGGCCCTGCTATGAGCATTCTTATGCACATGTGTGGACACATGTCCTTCTTTCTTATCCCTTGAAATGGATTGCTCTGTCATTACGTTGGTACATGTCTAATAGTATAAGAACCTGTCACGGGCCTGGCATGGTAGCCTTTTGGCTAAAGTCCTTGCTTTGCACTCACTGGGATCCCATGGAGGGCTGGTTTATATTCTAGTTGCTCCACTTCCCTTCGAGCTCCCTGCTTGTGGCCTAGGAAAGCAGTAGATGATGGCCTAAAGCCTTGGGACTCTGCATCTGTGTGGGAGACCTGGAGGAGCTCCTGGCTCCTGGCTTTAGAATAGCTCAGTTCTGGCCATTGCAGCCACTTGGGGAGGGAATCAGCAGACGGATGATCTTCCTCTCTGTTTCCTCCTTCTCTCTGTGTAAAATATAAAAAAAAAAAAAAAAAGAATCTGCCAGACTGGTTTTTTTTTTTTTTTTAAAGATTTATTTTTATTATTTTTTCATTGGAAAGGCGGATATACAGAGAGGAGAGACAGAGAGGAAGATCTTCCATCCGATGATTCACTCCCCAAGTGAGCGCAACGGGCCGATACTATGCTGATCCGAAGCCAGGAGCCTCTTCCGGGTCTCCCACGCGGGTGCAGGGTCCCAAAGCTTTGGGCCGTCCTCGACTGCTTTCCCAGGCCACAGGCAGGCAGCTGGAAGGGAAGTGGAGCTGCCGGGATTAGAACTGGCGCCCATATGGGATCCCGGACGTGCAAGGCGAGGACCCCAACCACTGCATCACCACGCCGGGTCCAACAGGCTGCTCTTTTACTGTTTCCCCTCTGAACATTTATTTGAAAGACAGAGTGGCGGAGACAAGAGCGTTGTATCACAGCAGCCTTGCAGCCCATTTGGGTTTCCTGTCAGGGTGCTGAGGCCCAAGTATTTTGGCCATCTCTTTCTTCCTAGTTACACTAGCAGAGAACTGAATCAGAAGTGGAGTAGTCAGGACACAGAGCAGGAGTAGTGCTTGATAGGGGATATGGGAGTCATATGGTGCCCCGATTGGGCGCCAGTGCTTAGAGTTGGAGGCTTAACCATTTGAGCCATACCCTTTTTTTTTTTTTTAAGATTTATTCATTTGTTTTTATTGCAAAGTCAGAGAGGAGGAGAGACAGAGAGAAGGCTCTTCTGTCTGATGATTCACTCTCCAAGTGACCACAACGGTTGGTGCTGTGCCAATCTGAAGGCAAAAGCTAGGAGCTCTTCCAGGTCTCCCACGCGGGTGCAGGGACCCAAGACTGTGGGCCATCCTCAACTGCTTTCCGAGACCACAACCAGGGAGCTGAATGGGAAGTGGAATTGTTGGGATTAGAACCAGCGCCCATATGGGCGGCAACTTTAGCTACTCTCCCATTGCAACAGGTCCCCCATATTCTTTTTATTTTTTTTTTTAAAGATTTATTTATTTATTGGAAAGTCAGATAGACAGAGGAGGAGAGACAGAGCGGAAGATCTTCCGTCTGATGATTCACTCCCCAAGTGAGTGCTACAGCCGATGCTATGCTGATCCGAAGCCAGGATCCAGGAACTTCTTCCAGGTCTCCCACACGGGTGCAGTGTCCCAAGGCTCTGGGCCGTCCTCGACTGCTTTCCCAGGCCACAGGCAGGGAGCTGGATGGGAAGTGGAGCTGCTGGGATTAGAACGGGTGCCCATATGGGATCCCAGGGTGCTCAAGGCGAGGACTTCAGCCTCTAGGCCACTGCGCTCCCCGCCCCCCCCACCCCCGTACTCTTTTTAATGTTTGCCTTCTGTTATAGGTGTGTGCTAATTCAGGTATGAATTTACCCATCTTTTCCTGTTTCCCTGCCATTAGCTATAGCACAGCTATACTTTCTGTTTTCTAAGATTAGCTCCTGTGCTCTTGTTTCAAAGCTCACCTTCCCATCACTATACAGTACTAATAGGAAAGTAATAAAGAAATGGCACTTTTTAGGTCCCGTGTGGTAGCCTAGTGGCTAATGTCCTCAGCTTGAACACACTGTTATCCCATATGGGTGGCAGTTCTAATCCTGGTAGCCCCGCTTCCCATCCAGCTCCCTGCTTGTGGCCTGGGAAAGCAGTGGAGGAGACGGCCCAAAGCCTTGGGACCCTGTACGCGTGTGGGAGACCAAGAGGAAGCTCTTGGCTTCTGGCTTTGGATCGGCTAAGTTCCAGCTGCTGTGGTTGCTTGGGGAGTAAATCAGTGGTCAGCTGATCTTCCTTGTCTTTCCTTCTGTCTGTATATCTGACTTTCCAATAAAAATAAAAATAAATCTTAAAAAAATAGCACTTTTCATAACTTTTTCTAAATTGCCCGTCTAAAGTTTTTCCTTGTGGGAGACACTGCAGTTCTTACTCCTGTGTGTCAGACTAGGAAGTTGTGTGAGTGCCGTGCTCCCCCTTTGCAGCTCTGCACTTGTGTTCCTCCCACCTCCTGCTTCCTGCCTCCAGTCACTGTGCTGAAGATCAGCAAGGTCAAGCTGAGAATCACTCTCAGAAAAAGATGAGGCTACTTTTCCTGCTGTTCAATGGGAACAATATTATGTTACAAGTTCTTGTGTTAACTCTTCAAAATACAGCATTTGTTTAGTCTTTTTAAAAAATTGTTTGATAAGGTAGCAAAAAAAAAAGCAACAGAGTGGGGAGGGGGCAGTCATCTGTCTTCCAAAGGTAGTCTCAGTTCACAGTTGTTTGGATGTACTCCAAGTTACTCTTCTATGCATACTGATTTAATTTCCTTAACGTGACTTCACTTTCAGTTTTGGAGTAAGCAAAAAAATGAGTCAGACTTGACCAGTGCTATAACTTAGAGGGTAAAGTTGCCATCTTTGGCACTGACATCCTATATGGGCACCATTTCGAGTACCAGTTGCTGTGCTGCCAGTTCAACTTCCTCTTAATAACCAGGGAAAGCAGTGAAAGATGGCCCAAATTCTTGGGCCCCTGCATCCTCCGTGGGAGACTTAGCAGAAACTCCTGGTTCCTGGCTTAGGGGTCAGACCAGCTCCAGCTCTTCCGACCCCTTAGGAGTCAACCAGTGCTTGGAAGATTTCTCTACCTCCCTGTAACTCTCTCCTGCCTCTCTCTGTAATTCTGCCTTTTAAATAAAGAGATCTTAAAGGGGAATAAAATTAGATAACATCTCATGTGGCTGATTAATTTTTAAAATAAAACAGAAATATTTATTTCTCAATTCTTCGTAAATGTTTTAGCTTTTGTTGTTTAATCATTTTCTTATAAGTCAAGATACGTCTGAAAAATCTGAGGATTGTAACGCACAATTCAAAGCAAAGCGTGACTTTCTGATGAGCGGTTTGCCAGATTTACTGAAACGACAAATTGCAAAGAAAGCTGCCGCGCTGGATGTGTACAATGCAGTGAGTACCAGTTTCCAGAGAGTTGTTCATGTGCAGCAAAAGGACGATGGTAAGTTGTTCATACTGAATGTTTGCTGGTTAACTGTGAGAAGTAGTGGGAAACTATTTAAATTGGTTAAATATCAGTAGATGAGACCAAAGTTTAAGTATTTTTTTAAGATTATATAATTGAAAGGCTATGTTACAGAGAGGAAGGACTGAGAAAGAGAAAGATCTTCCATCTGCTGGTTTACAACCCAGATGGCTGGTACAGCTGGGGATGGGACAGGCCAAAGCCCTCAGAGCCTGGAGCTCCATCCAGCTCTCCCACAGGACTTAGGCCATTCTTGTGCTGCTCTGCTAGGTTCATTAACAGGAAACTGGATCAGAAGTGGCACACCCAGGACTCAAAGCCGCTTCCCAAACTCAGTGCCAACACACAGGCAGCAGCTGACCTCCTGCCAAACACTGGCTGCTAAATATCTTTTTTTTTAAAAAAAAAAATTTATTTAATTTTATTAGAAATGAAAATTATACAGAGGGGAGGAGAGACAGAAAGAAAAATCTTCTGTCCATGGATTTACTCTGCAAGTTGCTGCAATAGCCAGGGCTGAGCCAATCCAAAGCCAGGCATCAAGAGCTTTTTCTGGGTCTTCCACGTGGGTGCAGGGACCCAAGGCTTTGGGCTGTCCTCTACTGCTTTCCCAGGCCACAAGCAGGGAGCTGGGTGGGAAGTGGGGCTGCCGGGATTAGAACCGGCATCCTTATGGGATCTCTGCGCGTTCAAGTTGAGGACTTTAGCTGCTAGGCCACGCTGCCAGGCCCCTAAATGTGCTTCTTAACACAGTCAGTATTCTCTGAATTTCTGGTGACCACTTTATACACCTGTCTGGATATCTATTTTTTTTTTTTAAGATTTATTTATTCCCATTGGAAAGGCAGATATACAGAGAAGAGAAGAGACAGAGAGGAAGATCTTCCGTCCAATGGTTCACTCCCCAAGAGGCCGCAGTGGCTGGAGCTAAGCCAATCCAAAGCCAGGAGCCAGGAGCTTCTTCCAGGTCTCCCACATGGGTGCAGGATCCCAAAGCTTTGGGCTGTCCTTGACTGCTTTCCCAGGCCGCAGGCAGGGAGCTGGATAGGAATCAGCGCTGCTGGGATTAGAACCGGCATCCATATGGGATCCTGGTGCGTTCAAGGCGAGGACTTTAACAACTACACTATTGCCCTGGGCCCATGGATATCTAGGTTAGCCCCTGTATCTACCCTACAAGGTGGAATATTGTTAAGTATACTGGCCTTTTAAAATCCTGGCTTCAGATCGGCATAGCATCGGCCGTTGCGCTCACTTGGGGAGTGAATCATTGGATGGAGGATCTTCCTCTCTGTCTCTCCTCCTCTCTGTATATCTGCCTTTCCAATAAATAAATAATAATAATAAAAATAAATCTTAAAAAAAAAAATCCTGCTGTCACTAGCAAGGCTAGTAAGTAGATGAGTCTGGAATTGACTCCAGTTTGGACTGAAAAGCTTCATCTTATAGGGGCCAGCCTTGCATTGTAGCTGTCCACAGTGCTGGCATGTGATATGGGTGCCAATTTGAGTTCTGGCTTCTCCACTTCCAATCCACTCCATGCTTATGGGCTGGGAAAGCAGCCAAAGATGGCTCAAGTCCTTGGACCAGGCCTAGAGGAAGTTCCTGGCTCCTGAAATCAACCTCGCCCAATCTTGGCCACTGTGGCCATTGGTGATTAAACTCAGCAGTAGATCTCCCCTGTCCTAACTCTGCATTTCTGATAAATTAAATAAATTTGCCGAAAAAAAAGTTTTATCTTTAAACCAAAATGCCCACTGTTCCTATAAGTTCGATTAAGGATGATTTAAAAGGAAATGACGCTTTGGTAATATTTCTTTGCTTTTACAAGTGTAAGGCAAGACTGGGTAAATTCTGTTCATTGTGTTTGCTGGAGGATTTTGTTCTGAGTACTCGTGTGGTTTAACAATTCTGTGTTAATCCTGTATTCATCAGATCTTTTTATGTTTACCTAACTGATTTTTAGTAAATGGTTGTATATAAATATTGTTAATTAAGGTACTCTTTTTGCTTTTTTTGTTAGGCTGCTGGTTGTGGCATCTGAAACTGCCCTCTTGTCCGCTCTTAACTACGTTTAAGGAACTGACCACTAAAGTGAGGGATGTTTCCAAATGTGTTATTGCCCTTGGTGAATTTTCAACTTTGAATTCAAATGTGCAAAGTAGTAAAGCTGTGGTAAGTACTGGCGAACTCTGTTCAAGGTTCTCTCTTCTGGACTTTGAGAGGAAGACATTTTTTCAACATCTACTAATGTAACCTAGAATTTCTTTTTTCTTAGGGCCTACTTTTAAAAAGGAACCCTAATTAGCGTTCTCATTTCTTTTAAATTCTCAGCTTTTAAAAATATCTTAAGAATTAATCTTAGCCAAATTTGAAAAATTTTAAATTGTATAGCACAATTGCTATAGTCTAATAAACGTGTGAAGCACAGTTAGTTGAAAAGGATGAAAATTTCAATGTGAACCAAGTCATTCCAAAGCTGTGTAAACTCAGCCTTTTTGTTTGGTGAATAAAGGAATCCTGCGTTAATAGCTTACTGTGGCTAGATCGTGGTTGGTTCATGTTTCGATAAACATGAATATATTGTGCATTTTATTCTTTATTGCAGTTTATGAGAAAAAGGAAGGATTTTACTGAGGAAGTAAGAAATCTTTTGTTGGAGGAAATCAGGTGGTCTAATCCCGAATTTTCTTTGAGAAAATACTTTCCCTTGCTTCTGAAAAAACGAATTGAGCACCAGGTACTTTCTGAGTGTCATGGTAAACAAGGTTAGTGATAATTATAATTTTAGTTTTGAAAACATTTAGACTTTGCCTGAATTCGCGCCAGCAGACATCCCCCAGACAGCGAACTTTGTTCAGACAAAAGAAAACCTTGCTGTAAATGTGATGTTTGCCCTTGCCAGCTAATGTGCATTGAAAGAAACCCAAAAGGAAATAACTTCAATTTAAATAGCATGTGCAAAAGGCGGTCTAAATATTATATATTAAGATTTACAGTTTGATTTTAGTATGTCATATTCGATTCTTGCCTTTTTTCTCTAAAAAACCTTTTAAGATACTTGTTTGAGAAGTAGAGAGAATGAGAGTAAGTGAGCGTAAATACTCCCATCCCATGGTTCATGCCACAAACACCTGCAAAGATCAGAGGTACCCCAAGGCCAAACTCAGGAGCTGAGAACCCAGGCCAGGTGTTGCCTGTCATTAGGTGGCTGGGGCCCAGTTACCTGAGCCATCACCTCTTCCTCCCGAAGTCTATGTTAGCAGGAAGCTGGAGTCAGGAGCTCAAAGCCAGTGCAGGATGCAGGCATCTTAATCTTTGTCCTACCCACCAAGTCAAACATATGCTCCTGACTTTTCACTTTACGGTATTAATACCAGCATATTTAAGACCCGGTGCAGAAGCCTAGTGCCTAAAATGCTTGCCTTGCATGTGCCGGAATCCCATACGGGCATCAGTTCATGACCTAGCTGCTCCACTTCCCATCCAGCTCCCTGCTTGTGGTCTGGGAAGGCAGTTGAGGAAGGCCCAAAGCCTTGCAACCCTGCACCCATGTGGGAGACCTGGAAGAGGTTCCACGCTCCTCACTTTGGATCAGCTTAGCTCCACCTGTTGCGGCCACTTCAGGAGTGAATCATCTCCCTGTCTCTCTTCTTCTCTGTATATCTGACTTTCCAATAAAAGTAAATAAGTCTTTTAAAAAAAAGACTAACATATTTAGAAGTGATACTTAGATTGTGGGATATATGTTTTTTTCCTTTTGACTGGTTAGCACATGGCATTTCTTTAATTCCCAATATAGAAAGTCTACAACTAGAACCGGATGCCATTCAAAAAGAAACCAAACGGAAACGAATTGAAACACAGAATTATAAGTCAAAGAGGAAGAAATCATGTGAATACTCAGAAATTCCAGAAAAGGAAAGTGGGAAGCCAGAAAAGCTTAACAGAAGAAGCACTTCCTGTGGGGTGAAGTCAGGTTCTCCCAGAGGTTTATGTCCTAAGGCGACCTGGGAGAAACAAGCCGGCCTGAGTACAACATGCAAAGTGGAGCCAAACGCACAAGGTGTGGATGTTTGGATAATAGATGATGACAAAGAGTCTGGACCTGAAACATCTTCCACTCCTGGTAAATTAAGTTTTCTCACTCTGGTACTAGAGTCTAGACTTTTTAAAAGCTTCTTGTTCTTTCCTTCTGCCTTAATATTGCCACTGCGAAACCTCACTGATGAGAGGCAAATAGACAGCCGAGCTGCTTCCTTTCACACATAGATGTCAAACAAAAACTTAGATCGTACTCAACAGGCAGATGTTGTCTTACAGTTACGTTAGATATATCTGACATGTTTCCATTCGGTGTATACAGCTTCGCCAGAGTATTCTATTGGGTTTAGTTCATCTGTTTATATAAAGTATATATTATGCTTTATATTTGACATGGCAAGTTTCTGAGCATTTTTATCAATTTTTCTTTTGAGAGAGAGAGCTCCGATGCACTGGTTCATTTTTCAAATGCCTGAATGGCCGAGATGACAGCAGGAGTTGGAATTTCAATACAATCTCTGATAGGGATAGAAGAATCCAGGAATTTGAGCTGTTAACCTGCTGCCCTCCAGGGTCTACATTTGACAAACCGAAATTGGGAATCCCAGCTAGACCTCAAACCCATCTGGTCCTGTGTCAGACCTTACTATTCTCTTCTAATAAATTCTTCTGCATTTACTGAGGCTTTTTTTTTTTATTATTCCTATAAATCTCAATGGCATTTTGATTTTAAGTTTAGTGACAATTGGCAAATTTACAATATTTTGTTTTCTTGGGTAGAACTATATTATCTCTGTTTACCCAGATTGATCTTGTAGAATGTTTCAGGTTTTTTTTTTTGTTGTTGTTGTTTCATTTATTTGAAATTCAGAGGATATAGAGGGCTAATCAGAGTGAGATATTCCACCTGCTGCTCAGAAGAGCTGGGGGGTGGCTAGGCTGAAGCCAGGAGCCTAGAATTCACGTGATGTCTCCTCCCTGGGTGGCAGAAACCTGAGTCCTTGAGCCATCACTGCTGCCTTGCAGGATGAGCACTGGTGGAGAACTGCATCATGAATCAGATGCAGAGACGTCAACATGCTGACGTGGCATTTGGGCATCCCAAGCAGGATCTTAACCAGTGTGCCAAAACTCCTGCCCCTAGTGTTTCTTTTCAGTGACCAAAAGGGCTACTTGAAGGGCATGCAGTCTTTGTTTTATAGACTGCTGGTTTTTATGGTAAAAATTACTTTGCTTGGCCTGCTGCGATAATGTAGCGGCTGAAGTCCTCGTCTTAAACGTGCTGGGATCCCATATGGGTGCTGGTTCTAATCCCGGTGGTCCTGCTTCCCATCAGCTCCCTGCTTGTGGCCTGGGAAAGCAGTCGAAGACAGCCCAAAGCCTTGGAAGACCCGCGTGGGAGACCTGGAAGAGTATCCTGGCTTTGGATTGGCTCAGCTCTGGCCTTTGCGGCTGCTTGGGGAGTAAACCATTGGACAGAAAATCTTTCCCTCCGTAATCTGCCTTTCCAATTTTCCTAATTTTTTTCTTGAAGGGTTCTTAAGTATTTTAGTATTTAATAGATTTTTTTCAAGATTTTTTTATTGATATATATTTTTTTTAATTTGAAAGGCATATTTACAGAGAGAAGGAGAGAGGGAAAGACTTTGTGTCTTCTGGCTCACTACCCAAATGGCCTCAACAACTCGAGCTGAGCTGATCTAATGCCAGAATCCAGGAGTTTCTTCTGAGTCTCCTTTGCGGGTGCTGGGTCCCAACAACTTGGACCATCCCCCTCTGCCTTCCCAGCTACAAGCAGGAGCTGGATGGCAGGTGGAGCAGCCAGAACAGGAACCAGTGTGCATACGGGATGCCAAGGCATGGAGGTGGAACGTTAACTTGTTGAGCTATGATGTGTATTTCTGTACTTTCATGAGAAATCACAGTGATCATTTATATTGAAAGGGACAGGCTTTGTGTGAATTAATTTAAATATAAATCTTAAGCTTTAAATTGACATTTTTGTAATTAATGCATATAAATATTTCTATAAATGCTTATTGTTACATTGTAATACTAATGTTAAATGTCCAAGAATATGTTAGTTTTAATTTGTTTTTGTTTTTTTTTTTTAATAATTTCTTCTTTCCCAGTTGATTTTTTTTTTTTCCTTTTTAAAATTTTATTGTTGTTTACATTGTGGTGCAGTTTTATAGGCGCTGGGGATTCCCCCTTCCCCTCCCATACCCCTCCCCCCATGGTGGATTCCTCCACCTTGTTGCATAACCATAGTTCAAGTTCAGTTGAAGTTTTAATTTGTTTTTGGCTTTAGATTCTGGGATTGAAGACATGCTTTGGACAGAGAAGTACCAACCTCTGAATGCCAGTGAACTTGTGGGCAATGAGTTAGCTATAAAAAAGTTACATGGGTAGGTATTTTAAAAAGTTGAGGAATACTTGATGAACTTTGTTTTATTCATGTTAAACTTTATAATTGAAATTAACATATTACAAGGTAAAATCTTTTTAGAAATAATTTTCTTTTTTTAAATATATATATTCTTTATTAATTACATTGCATTATGTGACACAGTTTCATAGGCTCTGGGATTCCCCCGACCCCTCCCCGTACCCACCCCCTGTAGTGGATTCCTCCACCTTGTTGCTGTATTACATTTCAAATTCTTTCATTGCAAGAGTATACCAAGAATAGAGTCCAGGATCTTATTGTCCAGATAAATTCAACAGTTTCTTGTGGAGACCATCTCTGGTCTGAAGGCAGAGCTGACTTTTTAGAAATAATTTTCAATGAAAATATTTCCCTTTTCTCACATTTCTTCCCCTACAGAGGTAACCACTATTGAAACTTTTCTTTAAAATCTTGTAGAGAAACATACAAAATTTAGTTCCTATATTTCTAACAAATAGTTGTATTACTATTCTTCACATATTAGATATTGCACGTTCTTTCTATAATTTGTACTTTCTGTAAACTTCTTTTATGCGTAAAGTTTATTATGGTCTTAGGAATTAATACATTTTTCAATAGAAAAATGTTTTGCAGATTTATGCACTTATTTGAAAGGCAGTTACAGAGATGAGGACAGATCTTCTGTTTCTGGTTCAGTTCCAAAATGGCCACGATGGCCAGGCCTGGACCAGTGTGAAGCCAGGGACTCCAGCCTGGTCTCCCAGATGGGTGGCAGAGGCCCAAGCACTGGCCCATCATTGCTGCTTTCTCTGGCATGTCAACTGAAAGCTGCATGGAGGTGGCACAGCTGGCAATTTCAAACTAGAATTCATATGCTATTTTGGCATTGTAGACAACAGGTTACCCTGCTGCACTAAATACCAGTCTCTAATAGAAATATTAAATGATATGGTTGTATTGCCTGAGGCCTCATTGGAATATTATGTAATGTGTGATATATGTGTCAAATTAGCTTTCTAGTATCTGAAAACTTCCGAATTCTAAAGCTGTGTGACTCAGAAGCTTTTGTAGTAGAACTGTGGAGCTTCAGTTATAATAGTTCATGTCCTCAGTTGGTTCTGTTCTAAGTAATTGCACTGTTCATTCTTTTAATCCTTAGAATAATACTAAGAGGATAAAGACTGACAAGTTGTCTTCATCTTACTGATGAACAGGCCACGAGATTTGTATAGTCACACAGCTAGAAAATGCTTGCATTGGGACTGAATCCCAGGCGTGGTGTTCTAGAATAGAGCTGCATCTTTCTGCATTACACACTTCGTGTCATCACACTGTCTGTCCCGATTTACTTTATGAGTACATATCCCGTAATGGCTTTTTCCCCCACTAGTGGACTTTTGTCTTTATCTTTCCCTTTTATACTTAGTATAAATCATGTTGCAATGACTGCTCCTTCGCATGTAGTCTTGTACACTTAGCCAAAAATCATTTCACTTTCAAAAGAGCGCCCATATCAAAATATTTTCCTATTTAAGTTAAAGCACTTAAAGTCCATGACACTGTCTCACAGCTCCCTCAACAGTCATTTTAATAAAAGGTTTAAGACATCTCTGCGTTTTGCAGATTCCTTTTAGTAATATACATTTTCTCTGACAGTTGGTTAAAAGACTGGAAAAGAAGAGCTGAATTGGAAGAAAGGCAAAATTTGAAGGGAAAAAGAGAAGAGAAACAAGAAGGTAATTTTTTCCATCACTAAAACTTTTTGGCTTAAGATTGGTTATCTAGTTTTTGTAGATTTTATCCTGGACTTCTTGGCACGAAATGTGTGTGTTTGAGCAGTGGGTTTTGTGATGTCTAACTGATTTCTTCACACTTAGGATTTCCTGTGCACTTGTCTTGCAGACGTTTCGAGTACCCTGGACTTCCAGGGCAGTTCGGATGAGGAAGAGGGTCGTCTGTGCAACACTGTTCTGATAACAGGGCCGACCGGCGTGGGCAAGACCGCCGCAGTGTACGCCTGTGCTCAGGAACTTGGCTTTAAGGTTAGCGACAAGTACAGTGCGAGTTTTATGGAACAGTCACACTTGAACTGAAATAGGACATTCTTATGCTCTGCTTTTAGATATTTGAGGTGAATGCATCTTCCCAGCGTAGTGGTAGACAAATTCTGTCTCAACTGAAAGAGGCTACGCAGTCCCATCAAGTAGACAAGCAAGGGGTAAATGCACAGAAGCCCTCTTTTTTTAATACCTACAACATCGGCAGATCTCCAAGTAAGTACATCCTGTCATTAAGACGTGCCTTTTCAGAAAACAAAACCTAATGAAGAAACTTTGTCCGGGTTTTGCCATTTGTTTTTCTAATTTTCATACATATAAACATGCTTTTTCCCCCCTAGACTATATTAAAATAAGTTTAGAGACTGTCATATCATTTTGCCCATACACATATATACACAATTGTAGTAAGTTTTTTTTAAAGATTTATTTATTTTTGGTGGAATGTCAGATTCACAGAGGAAAGGAGAGATAAGACGGAAAAAAAAAAGATCTACCCACTTGTTCTCTATCTAGGCAGATGCAACAGCCGAAGCTAAGCTAATCCAAAGCCAGGAGCCACCTCCAGGTCCCCAATGTGGGTGCAGGATCCCAAGGCCCTGGGCTGTCCTCCACTGCCCTTCTATGCCACAAAGAGGGAGCCGAAAGGGAAGTGGAGCAGCCGGGACATGAACCGGTAACCACATGGGATCCCGGTGCATGCAAGGAAAGAATCCTAGCCACTAGGCTATTGTGCTGGGCCCAATAAGGTTTTTATTTATTTTTATTTTTTTTTAACATGGGTGTCAATATACTAATCAGATCTTAGAAAATATAATTTACATTCCTTAATATCATCCAACACAGTCTGATGTCCATTTTCTATTGTGTCAAATGATTGGTTCAAGTTAGATCTCAACTTTTATTAAGGTTTTCTTCCTCCCTTCTTCTCTCCCTCCCTCCCTCCCTGCCTTTCCTTATTTCCTTCCTGGGAGACAAGAGCTACTGTCTCCTGGTTCACACCCTAAATGCTATTTGGCTGGAGCTGGAGGCAAAAGCAGCGGTCACAGCCTTGGTCTCCCACCTCCATGGCAAGAGCTCAGCGGGCTGCGCTGTGACTGCTGACTCCCGGGTCTGCAGTGTGTGCAAGCTGAGGTCAGGAACTGAAAGTCCACCCAGGCAGATCTCTTAGCTGCCAGGCTCAGTTTCTGTTCTCTAACATCTCTTAATCGTTCTGTCAGTTCCCTTATTCCTTTCTTTTCATGTCATTTCTTTGTTGAAGAACTTGAGTCATAGAATTTTGTGCCTTTGGTTGATGATTGTATTCACATGTTATTAGTTCTCTATTTCTTGTAAATGGTAGTTTCTTCTGGAGGCCTCATTATATTTGGGTTCTGTTTGGAGGCTAGTGCACCTGTATTGGTAAGCCACATACTTCTTTTAAAAAAAAAAAAAGATTTATTTATTTATTGGAAAGTCAGATATACAGAGAGGAGGAGAGACAGAGAAGAAGATCCTATGTCTGATGATTGACTCCCCAAGTGACCGCAATGGCCAATGCTATGCCAATCCAAAGCCAGGATCCAGGAACTTCTTCCGGGTCTCCCACACGGGTGCAGGGTCCCAAAGCTTTGGGCTGTCCTCGACTGCTTTCCCAGGCCTCAAGCAGGGAGCTGAATGGGAAGTGGAGCTGCCGGGATTAAAACCGTCACCCATATGGGATCCCAGGGCGCGTTCAAGGTGAGGATCTTAGCCACTAGGCCACGGCGCTGGGCCCAAGCCACATACTTATGGCATCATAGCATCACATACACTATTTCAGTAATACGAGGATAAGGAGAGTTTTTTGACTTAAAACTCTTTGGATTTATAGTTATTACCAAATATGGGACCTTTTCATACCTTCTTTATTTCTACTTATCAAGTGCCCCTTCTTTCCTACAGGTTTTTGAAGGTGTGGAATCGAGTAACAATCGTTTCAATGCATGTGCATGACCCTTGTTATCTTTACACTTTCTGAGTTGATTTTCCCCATGATTGAATTTTCTCCTGCATACTAGGTTATATTTTCTGGCCGTGTGAATACCTGATGAGTTTGTGTGTTCCCATTGTTGGGTACTGAGTATTTCTGTAGTTCTATCTTTATTCCTAAACTATTCTGCGGCGTAGCTAAGTTTCTTGGAGACAGTGTGTCTTCAAGGATCTGTTCAACAAGTCTGTAGCGGCATTAAATGCAAGCCTTACTTTGAACTGTGGATGGAAGAACTTTCTATGTCTCCCCTTTCTATAAATCTGATCTACCTTTCCAATAAAAACAAATCTAAAAGAATGGATATCTGTCTTGTAAACTATATACTTTCTAGAATTTATCTCTAGATGCAATTTGTTTTTGACAGAAAAACTAAACTCCCCTAAGAAGGTTGTTACATCTCCAAGGAAAGTTCCTCCATCATCGCCTAAAAGTAATGGACTTAAACGAGCACTGCCCCCAAAAACTTTGGCAAACTACTTTAAAGTATCTTCTAAACCAAAAAATAATGAAGAAATAGGAGCACTTTTGGAAAACAGTAAAGGTATGATATTGATGAACTCTTATGTAATGAGTATTTTAACATTTTAGTAATGCTGATTGCATACAAGTAAGAACGTATTTCAGAAACTCCTGCTGCTACCTTCCCTGTCTTACAGTCCTGAAGAAGGGGTGTGTTGATATTTTGTTGCAGATATTCTTTTTTTGGAGAGAATGTGGGTGGGAGAAATTGAGTGCAAGTTCCTCATCTGCTGGTTCACTCACCAGATGCCTGCACTAGCTGGGAAACTGAAGCTGGAGCTAGAAGCACAACCCGGATGTCTTACGGGAGAAAAGCCCCAGTCACTTGTCATCAGTGCTACAACTCCTGCTCTGTATTAGCAGGAAGCTTGCGTTCCAGAGCCATAACCAGGATCTGGACGCTGACACTGAAATCTAGGAGGCAGGCATCTCAACCAGCGTCTTACCTGTCGTTGCCATTAAAAATTCAATATCTGCCTTCTCTGATTCATTTCCAACGTGCCCAAGTAGCCTTGGGGCTGGGCCAGGTGGTCATAGAGGATTCCCCTGTGGGTGACAGGATCACAGTTACTTGAGCCATCACTGTTGCCTCCTGGGATCTCTGTCCGTGTAAGCTAGAGGTAGGAAGTGAACCCAGGCTTTCTTGTGTGAGACAGCAGTGTGATAACTAGCAACTTAACTAATTTACACTTAAACTAATTTATATAACCCCATCTTATTTATTACTTTTAAGATGTATTTTATTTGGGCACTGTTCGTGACCTGGCAGCCTTGCTGTGGCTGTCGGGTTCCATTCCAGTGCCATAGCATCTCCATCGATGCCATGAAGCTGGCTGCCTCGGAGGCTTCCAGTTTGGGGTCTTGGAGACAAAAACTGGGTGTGGGATAGGAAGAGAGTTATGTATTTGAAAGACAGAGTTATATATTCCATTCATTGCTGATGGACTCCCTGATTGGCCACAGTTGCCAGACCTGGACCAGACTGGAACCAAGAGCTTCATTCAGGTCTTCCATATGGGCTCAAGGGCCCAAGCAATTGAACTATCCTTGATTCTTTCCTGACATCATAGCAGGGAACTGGATCGACAGTGAAACAGCTCCAAGGGCAAGGGGAAGAGGGAACATGGTAGCGTGATAAGGTAAGCCACAAACTGTACTACTGGCATCTCATATGGGTGTCAGTTCATGTCCCAGCTGCTCCACTTCTGATCCAGCTTCTTGCTGGTGGCCTGGGAAAGCCAGGGAAGGCTGGCCTAAAACCTTGAGTCCCTGTACCCAGGTGGGAGATCTAGAAGAAGCTCCTGGCCTTTAACCAGCCCATCTCCGGCTGTTGGCAGCCATTTGGGGAATGAACCAGTGAATGTAACATTTCTCTCTCTGTCTCCATCTATCTCTTTAGCTCTGCCTTTCCAATACAAATAAATTGATTTTTTTTAAAAAAGTGTACTTATTTTTATTGGAAAGGCAGATTTATAGAGAGAAGGATAAGCAGAGAAAAGATCTTCCATCCGCTGATTCACTCTCCAAGCAGCCACAACGGCCAGACTGAGCCGGTTTGAAGCCAGGAGCTGCTTCTGGATCTCCCATGTGGGTGCAGGGTCACATCCTCAGCTGTCTTCCCAGGCCACAAGCAGGGAGCTGGATGGGAAGTGGAGCAGCCAGCACTCATATGGGATTCCAGTGCTGCAAAATGGAGGACTTTAGCCAGTTAAGATATCACGCCATCACCCAAAAAATAATAACTCTTTAAACAACAACAAAAAAAAGAAGTGTAGAGCAGCTAGGTCTCAAACTGGTACCCATATGGGATGCAAGCACTGCCTTAGTGGCTTAACGTGCTGTGTCCCAGTACCAGCCCCCTTGTTTCAGTTTAATAAAGGATTTCAGTTTGAGTTTACTGTTTGGAAATATCCAGTGTTCTAGCAAAACTTGATTTTTACCTGTGATATTAATATAATTTCTTTGTACAGAAATTGAAGACAGTTTAGAACAGAAGCAGATTATTCACATGAATTCTACACAAGCACCGACTAGAGGATTTGGAGCTGAGGAATCCAACAGAAAAAATGCAACATCTCTTATTCTTTTTGAAGAGGTAGGCTAATAAGGACACTTCAGGGTAAAAACTAATCTTAAAGATTACTCAGTGTTTCTTTTTTTTTTTTTTTTTTTAAGATTTATTTATTTTTATTGGAAAGGCGGATATACAGAGGGGGAGAGACAGAGAGGAAGATCTTCCGTCTGATGGTTCACTCACCAAGCGGCCACAATGGCAGGAGCTGAGCCAATCCTAAGCCAGGAGCCAGGAGCTTTTCCGGGTCTCCCATGCGGGTGCAGGGTCCCAAAGCTTTGGGCCGTCCTCAACTGCTTTCCCAGGCCACAGGCAGGGAGCTGGATGGGAAGTGGAGCTGCCGGGATAGAACCGGCGCCCATGTGGGATCCCGGGGAGTTCAAGGCGAGGACCTTAACCGCTATGCCACTGCTCGGGGCCTCAGTGTTTTCTTTTATAGTGTAACCAAGAATATTGGGTTGCTTGTATTTATTTGAAATTAGAGCAAATGAAATCAAGTCTAGAAGTATTTTTCAGGAAGATAATTAATGCACTTCAGTGATTATTGAAATATTCTGATTCATTCTAAACCATTTATTGGTGACTATTTCTTTGGTTTTAATGTTTGGTATTTGGTAATTTAAAATATTTGTTTATGACATTCTGTAGACTCAATTCTGAAATATATAACTCTTGTCCCTGTAACAGATGAGATTTACATATATACTAACTGATATCCAGTAAGTTTTGTCACTTACCATTCTAATAAATATTCTAACAAATGAATATTCTAATAAATGGTTTGCAGGTTGATGTCATTTTTGATGAAGATGCTGGGTTTTTAAATGCGATCAAAACATTCATGGCAACAACTAAGCGACCTGTAATCCTGACTACAAGTGGTATGTAACACTGATTTAAGTATAGTTCCTTATATTTTGTTGAAATATTTTGAGAATGCTGCTAATTTTTTTAAAGTTTTTTTTTTTTTTTTCAATTGGAAAGGCAGATCAGAGAGAAGGGGAAGCAGAGATAAAGATCTTGATTCACTCTCCTAGTGACCAAAGTGGCTGGAGCTGAGCTGATCTGAAGCCAGAAGCCAAGGGTTTCCTCTGAGTCTCCCACGCAGGTGCATGGTCCCAAGGCTTTGGGCTGTCCTCTCCTGCTTTCCCAGGCCACAAGTGGAGCAGCTAGGACCCGAACCAGTGCCAGTGCATGCAAGGGGAGAATTTAGCTACTATGCTATTGTGCTGGACTCTGAGAATGCTGCTGATTTCAGGCAGGAATGTTAGAATAGAAATCAGTTAAGGAGGGCCAGTGCTGTGGCAGTGTAGGCAAAGCACATTTTGGTGGTAGCGTCATATGGGTACCAGTTCAAGTCCCAGCTGCTTTGCTTCCGAGTCAGTTTCCTATGTATTGCCTGGGAAAGCCGTAGAGGATGGCTGAGTGCTTGTGCCCCTGCACCTGTGTGGGAACCCTGGGAAAAGCATCCGTTTTGGATGCTGGTGCCACAGAATAGAGGATTCTCCTGGTGAGCCGTGGCACTAGCCGCACAAGTGATGTCTGAACCTGCACCAAGTCTTGTTTTCTGAAAGGGGATGGAGCCTGCATAGAGTTTAAACTATAAATCATTAAAATTTGCACAAAAATAAATAAAACAGTGATCTTAATGCTTAACAGTTGAATTTTTTTTTTTTTTATAGATCCAACATTCAGTTTGACGTTCGATGGTTGTTTTGAAGAAATCATTTTTAATACTCCTTCCTTGGTAAGTTTAAAATTTTTCTGATTATATATATAGGTGCTTTGAAATTACTGGGTTTTTTTTAACTTTTATTTTAATGATGTTTACATCGTTGATTAGGTTGGGAATGATGAAGGATTAGGGGAAAACAGGTGAAACCAACCATTGTTTCCAAATTTTCTTTTTCTTATTCCTGTGTGTAAGGGAAGGGGGCAGAAAAGGGAGGAAGCTGCACCCAGCCTCCCAAACGCGTCAGTATTTGGGGATGAGGAAAGCCCCTCAGTGTCATCCCAGACTCCCCAGTGTGGAACAATCTCAAATGTTTTTGATAATTCTGAAATGCGGTTGATCTTGCCACTCCAAGGATGAGGAAATCCTTCCAAGGTCAATTTGCTGAACATATTTGTCAACTACTCCAGCCAAGCCTTGACAGCAGATATCTGAGCGAATGGAGACTCTGGGGTGGACTGTGTCAGCAAATTTTTGTATTTTTACTAGACTCTAATGTGCATTCAGTTTTTTTCCGGATTAACAGTCCTTACTGAAGTACTATCTAAATTGTTAAGGTACACTTGTCTTGCACACAAAAGTCAAAAGTAGTCATCTCCTAGATCAGTCTGTTGGCATTTCCATCGTTTCCAAAGGTTCTGACACCCTTCCCAGTTAAACAAGCTTCCCTTTAATAATGATGAGCAGTGTAGTGAAATTGACTGTGTGTGCACATTGAATTCTGAACTTTAATGCAAGCCATTGTTATAGACGGTTCTCTGATGGCTGTATTAATTTGCATGTCCACTAACAGCATGGATGTGTTCACTTTTCTACACACCCTTGTTAGTATTTGTTACTATGTTTTGGGTTTTTTTTTAATGATTTATTTATTTTACTTGAAAGATAATTTTAGTGAGAGAGATGGAGAGACAAAGATCTTCTATCTGCTAGTTCACTCCTCAGATGACCACAACTGCCAGATCTGCACCAGTCTAAAGCCAGAAGCCAGGAGCTTGTTCCAAGTCTCCCACATTTGGGCAGGGGTCCAAGGCCTTGGGCCATTCTCCACTGCTTTCCCAGGCCATTAGAGAGAGATGGAGGAAAAGTGGAACAGTTGTAACACAAACTGGTACCCTGCAGGATGCCCGTACCCAGTCAGAGGATCACTTTTATGAGCAATATGTATTTTTTTTGTCTACTCACTACTCAAATGTTCTGCCCATTTATTATTTGGATTGTTTTGTTGTTCTTAAGTTTCTGAAATCTATATATTCTGGATATTAATCCTTTGTCAGATGCAAGCTTTGCAAATATTTTCTCATAGTCTATTGTATCTTATTGTGCGGAAGCTTTTCGATTTGATAGAATTTCATTGGTTTGTGTTTGCTTTTTTGTTGTTATGTTTCCTTTTACTGCCTGTCTTGTCTGTTGATGGTGTTTTTAAATCCTATACATCAGGCCCCTAGCAGCTTAAGTGCTCACTTTGCATGCACCAGCATCCCATATGGCTGCTGGTTCTAATCCCCGCAGCCCTGCTTCCCATCCACCTCCCTACTTGTGGCCTGGGAAAGCAGTTGAATATGTCCCAAGGCTTTGGGGACCCTGCACCTGCGTGGGAGACCTGGAACAAGCTCCTGGCTCCTGACTTCAGAAGAGTTCAGCTCCAGCTGTTACAGCTGCTTGGGGAGTGAATCGGCAGATGGAGGATCTTCTTTGTCTCTTCTCTCTGTATATCTCACTTTCCAATAAAACATAAATTAAAATATATTTATATTTATATTTATATATATTCTGGACCCAAGCATGGTGGCCTAGTGGCAAAAGTCCTTAAATGCAACTGCCGGGAACCTGTGTGGACGCTAGTTCATGGTTCATGCCCCAGCTACTCTACTTCCCATCCAGCTCCCCACTTGTGACCTGGGAAATCATTAGATGGCCCAAAGCCTTGGATTCTTGCACATGCTACTGGCTTCGGATCAGCTCAGGCTGTTATAGCCAATTGAGGGTTAAACCAGTGGATAGAAGATCTTTCTCTGTCTCTCTTCCTCTGTAAATCTGACTTTCCAATTAAAAATAAAATTAGGCCCTGGCACAGTGGCCTAGCGGCCAATGTCCTTGCCTTGAATGTGCCAGGATCCCATATGGGCGCTGGTTCTAATCCCAGCAGCTCCACTTCCCATCCAGTTCCCTGCTTGTGGCCTGGGAAAGCAGTTGAGGACAGCCCAAAGCCTTGGGACCCTGCACCCAGATGGGAGACCTGGAGGAGGCTCCTGGCTCCTGGCTTGGGATCAGCACAGCTCCTGCCGTTGTGATCACTTGGAGAGTGAATCAGCGGATAGAAGATTTTCCTCTCTGTCTCTCCTCGTCTCTGTGTATCTGACTCTACAATATAAATAAATCTTAAAAAAAGAAAAGATTGTTCTCTTGATTACTTGATTCTTTTATTATTATGAAGTGTGTCATTTTGTCACCTAGTATTTCTTGTATTTTTTTGGTTGTTGTTCTGTTAATTGTCTGTGGGACAGACATTTGGATAGCTGCATACTATAGGGGATGTGATTGACTCATGTGTAAATTGCTTTCGGTTTTGGAGTTTTGGAGCTCTTCCTTTAACAGTATAAATATAGTGAATTCATTTATTGTTATTATTATCTTAAAGAAAACTTCCCCTCCATTCCCTGAATTTAAGTCCTGGCTTTCTCCCAGTTTCAGCCCACCTACTAATGTGCTTTCTGGGAGGAGCCTCAGCTGAAACATGAAAACAAATATATACACCAGAATCAGAAGACTGCTATGAAATGTCCTATGCAGGTGTACCATTGCTTAACCCAAAGGTTTCTCAAGGCTTGTAAAAATGCTTGCAATGTTCAGGGTGGAGAATAGCTTAAAAACTTCATTGCTGTGTTGGATTATTTGCAGTTAATAATTTATATATGCACACACAGGTTTTTATTTGGTACTATGTGTCTATATTTTTAGAGCAGTTCTCATTCTCAAAAGTAGCTTTACTGCAGAGCGGGTTTTAGCAAATCTTGTCTTCCTCCTTATTATAGTTCATTTGTATTGTGTTTCTGTTAACTCTTCAGCTAATACATTTTTCTCTGTTTTAAAGCTAAATGTTGCCAGCTACCTACAAATGATCTGCTTAACTGAGAATGTTAGAACTGATGTAAAAGACTTAGTAACTTTGTTAACTGCAAACGCTTGTGATATTAGAAAAAGTATCCTTTTCCTACAATTTTGGATCAGAAGTGGAGGTGGAATTTTAGAAGAAAGGCCATTGTCCTATTGTCGTAAGTTATTCCGTTATAAATTTCTACTAAGAGATTCTATTTAAAAATACATGTGGGGAGGGTGTTTGAAGCAGTCAGGATACCCTTTGGGATGACGCCACCCCAGAAGGCTAGGTCCGAGTCCTCACTTGTCTTCCAGTTCCAGCTTCCTGCTCTAAGGCATGTCCTAAGAGGGAACAGGTTCTGTGGCTCGAGCACTGGGTCCATGGGAGACCTGGATTGAGTTGTGGGCTTGTGACTTCAGCCTGGCCTAGCCTTGGCCTTGGGAGGTATTGTGGGTTTGACTAGCATGTAGATCTCGGACTTTCTTTCCTTTCAAATAAGTAAATACAATTTTAATTGAATTATGCTATGCCAGTGTAACTGAAAGACTGTAAAATTGTGAGTTATGATAGCAATCATAACTATACATGCATCAGCTTTATTCATGAAGTTTTGTGAATACCAAATGTAAGTGATAGAATTCTACCTGTGCTCCTGTCTACACTCAAATTCACTTTAGCTGTTTCTTTACCAAGAAAATGAAAAATCTGATCTGTAAATTACTTTTAAAATTTTATAGTTTTTTTAAACATAAATGTAATACACTCAATTTTTATAAAGAAACTACCCCCCTACACCATTCCATTCCCTCTCCAAGGTTTGACTGTTAAATTATCCAAACTGTTATGTATGTAGATTATATATATATAATTCCCTCTCCAAGGTTTGACTGTTAAATTATCCAAACTGTTATGTATGTAGATTATATATATATATTTAATTTATTAAGATGAGGGGCTTGCAGACCCATGTGGGCTTCTGACTAGAATGGAGAGGGTGGGGATGGGTGGTTGGGGAGGATGATGAATAAGATAAATAGTTCAGTTTCTCCTCCTGTGTCCACAGAGGGTGGGGGTAAGGAAGAGAAAGTATGCTGCTCCTTGCTGTCCCATTACATCAGTGCCCTGGGACAGAGACAGGTATTTGGTGTCATCTTTGAGGCCCAATGTGGGGAAGAATGTTTCAAGGGTGTTACTTGAGTGGTCATGATCTGAAAAGTTGTCAGCTTCCTTCCACCAAAAGTGCAAAATTCTAAGTCCCCTTGGCTGTCCACGTCTACCTCCGTGTGCCCACAGACATAGGTGCTTATTGAGAGCCAGGCCTGGAGTGTTGTTCAGCCTGTCCTTTTGATGAGCTACTCAACGTCTTGTGTTGGCTCAGAGGAACTGGCTGGTTCTGTTGTTCTTTGTGGTCCTTCGGATATACGCCTCATTTTTGCAGGAGGATCTGCAATTGAGGTGACCCATGGTTTAAAGCTATGACCTATATTGCATTAAATATTCAGGCGTATTGGGGATAGTGCTGTGGCACATCAGGTGAAGTTTCTACCTGTGAAACTGGCATCATATATGGGTACTGGCTTAAGTCTTGACAGTTTCACTTTTGATCCAGCTCACTGCTTGTGATCTGCAAAAGTAGCAGAGACTGGCCCGTGTCCTTGAGCCCCTGTACTCATTAAGACCTGGAAGAAGGTTCTAGACTCCTGGCATCTGAGCAGCCTAGGTTCAGTAATAGTGGCCATTTGGGGAATGAACTTGTAGATGGATGATCTATCTGCTTCTCTCCCTAAGTCTGCCTTTCCAATAAAAGCAAATAAACCTTTAAAAATAAACAAATCTCCCCACTTTTAAAAAAGCTTTGATATTTATTTGGAAGGCAAAGTAACAGAGAAAGAATCTTCCATCCTCTGGTTCTTTCCCCAGTTGCCCACAACCGTAAGCTACGAGCCAGGAGCTCCATCAGGGTCTCCCACACACTGAGGGAGAGAGGGAGATCCTCCTTCTGTGTGTGTGTGTGTGTGTGTGTGTGTGTGTGTGTCTCTTAGTTACCTTATTTGAACACCAGAATGAGAGAAATCTTGCACCTGCAAGTATCCTTCTCAAACTCCATCCAGATATCCCATGCGGATGGCAGGGTTCCAAACATGTGAGCCACAGTGGCAGGGAGCTGGACCAGAAGAAAAATACATTGGGGTGTGTATGAGGTAGGCAGTGGTATAGGTATAGGTTCAACAGATGCCAAAGGATCATAAACTCTAATCGTTTGATGCAGTTTGGTTAAAATATGAATAGATAAGATTTTCTTTCTTTTTTTTTAATAGGAGGAAACAGCAGGAATGTACTCACAGGTTGCTGCAGAGATGGTCCTGATGCAAAAAACATCCTTAAAAATATTAATAAGAATTGTGTAATCCTTCCTCAGTGTGACAGCGGCTGTGTTGAGACCTTCTTTGGTCTGAAGAACATTTTTGCCCCATCTGATGGCTTACTCTCGTTTCTGAAGGTATCCCCATGTCTGCCTGCAGTGTTGAATTCATGTTCCTTTTGGTTTTTCCCAGCAGTTCTGCTTTTTGAATCTTAAAATTGCCTATAAATTTTACAGGCTTTAGATTTTTTATTTTTTTAAAGCAGGTTTTTTTTTCTATTTTGTTTTTAATTTTTCCCTTACCTTCTCCCCAAGGTTTTAGATTTATAATTGTCATACATCTTAGCGCTTTTACAAATAATTCATAGACAGTCTTCCAAATACATATATTGTAGGATTTAGAATAGAAACTTCTCACATGAAATACAATTTCAGAGTAGTTTTTTAAATAAATGACTTTGTAGTTGTTGGAGTATGAATTTAATTTTTGCAGTTAGCAATATTCAGTTTCTAGTTTTGCCAGTATTTTGATGTAAATGTAGCTGAATAAAATTGTAACAAGTAGTGACAGTATTTTGAAGGTAGAATATTGACAATGCTATATTCACATATATGAACAGAAGACTGTCCAAACTATGTTCTATTCCAACATTTCTTTATTCCCCATTGTTTTTCAGCTCAAAATCACAACAAAAGACGAATGGCATAAACTCACCCAACTTCTCACAGAATTCCAAATGCGAAGTGTAGACTTTTTGTATAGCAATCTCGAGTTCATTTTACCATTACCTGTTAATATTTTTCCAGAACTAAAACCTCTCCATGGCTCCTCAGAAAGTCCCAATCCCAGCACTGCCACAAACAGTGCAGCCTGTCCTGCTAGGAAAAATCCCAGAGAACAGCCAGGGAAAAAGATGCCCAAAAGGAAACAGAAGAAAAAAATAGTGACTCTGGATGATAGTGACCTGTTTGACAGCGACCTAAGCTTTCCTGAGGAATCTGTGAGTCTGTCCCCCGTGTCCATTTCCTCCATCTCGGAAGACAAAGAAAGCGATCCAGATGCAAAGAAGCTAGATGAGTGCTTAGTGTCCAGTGCTGAGTCAGCTCCCCATCCCCCCACAACACCGGCAGAAAAGCAGCACTCTGCCCTGGTCTCCCGGTGCCTCAGCTGTCTCACCGAGTTCCTGGACAACATGTCCTTCCTCGACGCCCTTTTAACTGACGTAACAGAGCAAAAGGAGCTTGGTAAAAACGACTTCAGATGGACCCGTGGGAAGGTTAAAAGTGGGCTCTGCGATGAGTTTAGCCTCGAGAGCGGGGACAACGGATGGGCTGCTCGAAGCTCTGCGGAAGTGAAGGCAGCTGCAGAAGCTCTCAGCTTCACCAAGTGTTCCTCTGCTCTTTCCAAAGCCTTGGAAACAATGGATTCTTGCAAGAAACTAGGAAGCGATCCAACCAGTGATCTTAGTATTTATGTTTCACAAAAGCGTGACAGTGTGCACTTCAACCAGTCCGCAGCTAACTTAGAGTGAGTCTTACTTCCTGTTACTTTGTACTTGTCAGTGAGGAGTGCTAAAAGGGAAATCATTAGTTCCTTCATTCTTACTTTCAAATGCTGGCCGTTTGCTTACGAGAAGCCCTTGCTGTTGATGGTGTGGCTAAGAGAGCTAAGGAGTTCCTCCAGCTTCCTGGGAAGAGGCATAAAAGGTGGTTAGGGTGGGCTAGGCTTGGGAAGGTCTTGGGGACGGAGGTCTGACCTTGTGACTGGAAGGCATTGGGATTCTTCAGTCTGAGAGTGACTGACATGTTGATAGGAAGTTCGTGTTGAAAAGATGTGGCTCTGGAGCAGGAGCAGGGCTGGCCGTGCTGGGGACTGTTAGGTGTTTGCTAGGCATTAAGAACTGACGTGCTGTTTTTAATTTACAGCCATGCACAGAAGAGGATAGCAGTCGTTAAGAGTGTGTTTTCTAGTCGATCTCTAGTGAATCTGGGTAGTAGACAAGCTAGTGTAACCGAATATCTGCCAACTCTCCGAAGCATTTGTAAAACTGAGAAGCTCAAAGAACAAGAAAAAAACAAAAGGAGGTAACTACCTTTTTAGGGGTGGGCACTGTGGCACAGGGGATATTCGGCCACATCCCCATATTGGAATGCCAATTTGCATCCCAGTATTCCTTGCTGCGGTGCAGCCAGGAGGGAAGAGTAGATGCTGTTGGAGCACATGGACTCAGCTCCCTGGGAGTCCCAGGTGGAGGTTCTGGCTCCTGGCTACTTCGTCCTGGCCTGTCCATCTCTTGGGGATTGAACCAACTGGCAGGAGATCTTTGTCTCTCCCTCCTTAAGTGATACTCTGCCTCAAATAAACAAATCTCTTTTTAAAAACAACATTTTAAATAGTATTTCAAGGAGAATAAATGCTTTCATCAGATGAAATACTAATACTGTTTTTCCTGGTAATTTTGACAGGTTCCTGCATTATTTTGAAGGAATTCATCTTGATATTCCAAAAGAGACTGTGAATACCTTGGCAGCTGATTTCCCTTAATAGTCTGCGTTAATTGTGTACAGATTATGTGGTCCTTAAGATATTTTTGTATTATGTTGACTTTTGTGGAAGAATTTATTTCTTAATGTACATGTAAAACAGACTATTTGTATATTTTTTATTTGTGTATATATTTAAGATGAAAATATTTGAGTTAAAAATTGTATATACGATTGTGGTAGCTTTTTCCTGTAATTTTTGCATTACCCAACTTTACTTTGAAGGAGCTTTTTTGTGTGTCTATGGAAATGAATTAACTGTTTCTAGAAGGTTGAGTTCACTAAGATATTACTAAAGGTGTTTTGATGATAAACCAATTTATAATTTCTCCCTGTAACCCTTAAACATCCTGTCAAATATTGGTGCTTTGTCAAACTGTAAATATGGTCTTTTAAAAATTGTTTACACAATATGAAATATAAAATTACATATTATGTATAATATGTATGTAATTACATATTATATATGTAATTATATACACAAGAACATTTCCTAAGAAAATTATGCTTCAAATTTGGGGGGGAGCGGGGAGGGAAAGCTTGTCCTGATTAATTTATCTGTAGTGTTGTCCTCTGGCAAATTTTACCATTGAATCATTGGATCCTGACAATGTAAGATCAAGATTATAAATTCGTTTTCATAGGCCTTTTTCGGCAGCCGTGTGATATTGTGTATATTTGCCAGCTCAGGTCATTTGCCTTGTACATTTGCTTATATTGTTATTTTGTTGATGTTTATTTTATAAAGATATTGACATTATGTGTTTGTGCAAGATGCTGTTAATTAAAGCTGTGACAGGTTTGTTTGTGTTTAGCATAGTGGTTGAGCCACCCGTATCTGCTATTGTATCTGTACTGAGTTCAGTACTCAGCTGGGACTCATGCTGTTTTCCTGCCAATGCTGAAACGAGGCAACACTGATGGCTCACTAGGGTGTTCCTGCTCTCCATTGGGTCATGTGGGTCCTGGCTCCAGCCTAGCCCAGTTCTAGCCATCGAGAACATGGGAAGAATAAACAAAACAAGAAGAAAAACAGATTTATATATCATAGCCACTTCCATTTTAGAATGCTTTTGGAAAATCTGTATTTAAAAAAAAAATACAGGAAAGGCAGATTTACAGAGAGGAAACAAAGATGTGTAATAAAGGTAACCACATTCTAGTCATTTTCATTACTTGGCATATTATCTCCTATAAATGTGTGAACGAAACACAAACCATTAGAGCTTATTTGTTCTGCTGGTAGCAGACTTGAGTCAATGAAAACTGCCTTCTGGAGGCAGGACAGCAAACCATGTTCCACTGAGAGAAAAGAGGATTCTGGGAGTCATGTTATATCTGCAGCTTTTTTCTCACTTATGAGCTCCCTGCAGAAAAGCCATCATTTTCAACAATACTGTAACCAAATCCTGCAGTCACTGCCCAGCTCTGCAGGTCCTCTTGCTTATCACAGCCAGAATGCTCAGACGTAGAAAACATGCACTGCTTTAATCATGAATCATCAAAGAAGCCATTCTACAGCTCAGTTTGGCTTTAATCATCTATAATACATGCAACATGAATTCATCTATGTGGACACTCAAAATCACTAGTTTCATATCATTAGGCTTAAAAAAATATACATTCATATACAGATGCATTCATCTCACACGCTCAGTGCCAATGACTGCCAGCTCGTAGAAGGCCACGGCTTGCAGTAAACAGTCATACAGTTCTTCGATCCTGTGGGTGTCGGTGGCTAGCAGCTGTCGGTAGCGCACCACCTTATCTGTGGGGAAGAACACCCGCGGCCGTTCCCTCAGCACAGACTCGGACAGGAGCTGCTTCACCAGGTCCTTCCCACTAGTCCGGGTGTCACCGATCATCAACTCAAAGTGCTTTCCCACTGCGTTGCGGTTCATGCTCAGCACCTGATGCTGGCCATCCTGGCCGAACGTCCCATTCAACAAGGCGTACAGCATGGCTTCCGTGATGTGAAAATGCAACAGGATAGGAAAGAGAGACGAGTTCTGAATGGAGAGGCCTGTCTTTTCCAGAACATAGAAGTCGGCTTTAGGCATCTTTGAAATAATGGAAGAAATCTTTGAAAGAAAAAAATGATCAGAAATAATTCATTCAGCTCCATATTTGGGCACCCTTTCCACTTACACTATGGCTAGGTAACTTAACAGTATGTTAATAATGCTGAACTAACTGGAAAAATATTTCAGATTGGTCATGGTTCCATCAGGACTGAGCTCTGTGTGGACAAACTGTTTAGTTACCCTCAATACCAGTCTCATAACAGTAAGATGCATTCTATAAGTCTATGATGGTTTTAACTCTAGACTACTTAGGGGCCAGCACAGTAGCCTAGCAGCTAAAGTTCTTGCCTTGCATGAGCAGAGATCCCATATGGGTGCCAGTTCTACCCTGGCAGCCCTGCTTCCCATCCAGCGCCCTGCTTGTGGCCTGGGAAAGCAGTCAAGGATAGCCCAAGGTCTTGCGACCTGTGTGGGAGACTTGAAAGAAGCTCCTGGCTTTTGGCTTTGGATTAGCTCAGCTCCGGCTGTTGCAGCCACTTGGGGAGTGAACCAATGCATGAAGGATCTTTCTGTTTCTCCTCTCTGTAGATCTGCCTTTACAATAAAAATTAAGTATTTAAAAAAAAAATCAAGTACTTCTGCAACTGACAAACATATCACATGCTTGACTGGAACCAGTTTTCTTATGTGTAATCAAAACTGATCCTGCCCATTTCTAAGGTTTTGAAGTCACTTTGAAAAAGTTTACAAATGTAAGATTAGGGACTGAAGTCCTCACTTTACACGCACTGGAATCCCATGTTTGTATCCCGGCTACTCCACTTCCCATTCAGCTCCCTGCCTGTGGCCTGGGAAAGCATTTAAGGAAGGTCCAAAGCTTTGCAACCTTGCACCCATGTGGGATTGAAGGAGGCTCCTGAATCTTGGTTTCAGGTGAGCTCAGTTCTGACTGTTGTGACCACTTGGAGAGTGGACCAGGAGTTAGAGGATCTTTCTCTGTGTATCTGCCTTTCTAATAAAAATTTTTAAAAAACATTTTTTTAAAAGATTTATTTCTTTTGATTACAAAGTCAGATGTACAGAGAGGAGGAGAGACAGGAAGACCATCTGTCTGATGATTCACTCCCCAAGTGACTGTAATGGCTGGAGCTGAGATGATCTGGAGCCAGGAGCCAGGAGCTCTTCTGGGTCTCCCACGCAGGTGCAGGTCCCAAGGCTTTGGGCCGTCCTTGACTGCCTCCCCAGGCCACAAGCAGGGAGCTTGATGGCAAGTACAGCAGCCAGGATTAGAACCAGTGGCGCCATACAAGATCCTGGCACATTCAAGGCGAGCTAGGCCAGCACGCTGGGCCCTTTTTAAAAAAAAAAAAAAAAAAAAGATTTATATATTTATTTATTTATTGAAAGGCAGATTTACAGAGGTGAGACAGATCTTCCATCTGCTGGTTCACTCCCCAGTTGGCCTCAATGGCTAGAGCTGAGCCAATCTGAAGGCAGGAGCCAATAGCTTTCTCTGACTTTACCACGCTGGTACAGGATCCCAAGGCCCTGCGCCATCTTCCTCCACCCTCATAGGCCACAAGCAGGGAGGCAGATGGGAAATGGAGCAGCTGGGACACAAACCAGAACCAGCACCCACATGAGTTCCTGTTGCATACAAGATGAGGATTTAGCCACTAGGCCATCGCCCTGGGCCCACTGAAAGATCATTTTTAAAAATATTAAATAAATAAATAAAAAACAAAGGTAATGGGGGACAACACCATGGCATAGAAGCTAGTCCTCCACCTGTGCTGATGGCATTCCATATAAGTTTGAGTTCCCTGCTCTTGGCCTGGGAGGATGAATCCACTCAGGCAGAAAACATAACAGGGATAGTTGAGTAGTTAAGTGTCGAAAGAAAAGCTGTTCTTTCAATTGTGTTACATCCTTAGAAGGTAAAGAATATCCCTAAAGATGCACAAGTGGCAGGTAGGAATCTGGAGGTACAAGCACCTTACCTCTTCTAAATAGACTGAAGAGGGGTACGTCTTGCTCATCGCTTTCCAGTAGTCACTGTGCTGCCAGTCCAACACGGCCAGTTTACGGTCAACGTGAGCCCAAGCAATTCTTCGAGTACCAAAAACAATGGACACAATGCTGCTCGCGGCCTACAAGAAAAAGGCTCAATATATCTGCAAACGTGCTATGAGACACAGACCCTAATGCACAAGCCCAGGATGCCTAACGAGTTCATGCAGTGTGCCCTTCTTCACAGCTTGTGAGCAGAGCACTGTTAAGGACATGGCAGCTGTCAAGAGTACTGGACGGCAAAGTAGCAGTGTACTGTGTACAGACGCTACACGCCCACGCTCAGCAGCTAACCCAGAGTACGCAGGCAGATACTCAGGAGCCACCATATCACAGTCACTGGGGAGAGGGGAGATCAGCCCAAGTTTATTGGGGAAGCGGCCTGAGTAAAATGGTGAGTGAGACATGATTTCACCCAGCTGTCTGCAAAGACAGGCCGCAGGAGCCCTAAGGCAGTGGGAATAAGGCTTGGGGGTAAGGGCAAGGGGGACGGACGCGTGTTTCTGTGAAGGTGAGGTTAAGCAACTGCTTTTTCCTGGGAGCAACAGGCCAACAAAGCATGAGTCTAAGGGCTGTCACTTGTGTCACGTGTGTAAGGTGGACTTGAGAGAGCTAGATACCACTTACAACACGATAGGGATTCAGAGGCCTACAAAGGCAGTGGAAAGGAAAAGATGCAAGCTGAAGCAGGAGGCGAGGATAACTCGTTTTATTCTGGTGACTGGAAGCATCATCAATGAAGATTAAAGTAGGGAACTGAGCCGGGGAGGAAGTGGGAATGAGCTGCCTCCCCGGGTACTGATGTTGGGTTGCCTACAGGCTTCTCAGGGATGTGTAAGATACAGTTTGATAGGAGGATGTGGCTCCACCCAAGGCTGGACCGTGCAGATACAACACAACACAACACAACACAACAGTATGGCACTCCCACACAGCACATTCAGTTTTAATGATTACAGTAAAAACATGTTCTATAGGCACATATACACAGGCGGATGACAGAAACTACACAGAATTCTATACCCTCTTCCTGTTCAGTGCTAAGGGCTGAATGAATATGTCTGAGGCAAAATCACAGGGAAGCCCAAAGCCTATAAAATGGAGACCTCCTTTTGGTTTGGCTCAGAAATGGCCAAGCATCAGTGTGGATAAGCATGGCTGAGTCAGGACATGGGATACTTAGGGAGATCATTTGAAGGCCACCCTGTAGGCTTTCCCATACAGACCGTCCCAAGAACCTACGTGCCTCAACAAGATGCAAACCAACTGATGTCTGAGAGCAGTTTGTCATGAACTGTAACCAAATTCCTCCCTAAAGTCGTTTAGAAAGACATTGTAGACCAAATGCAGTTATTCTTTTAAGAAAAAAAATTTTTTTTTTAATTGGAAAGGCAGATTTACAGAAAGAGGGAGGCTGAAATGAAGATCTTCCATCCATCTGAAGGTTCACTCCCCAAGCAGCCGCACCAGCCGGAGCTGAGCCCATCTGAAGCCAGCAGCCAGTGCATATATTCTCTTCTGGCCTAATTCTCTCTCCTAAGATCAAAGACCTGGGCCTGGTGTGATAACATAGTGGCTGAAGTCCTTGCCTTGCATGCACTGGAGTCCCATACGGGCACTGGTTCCAATCCCTTCCAGCTCCCTGGTTGGGACTTGGGAAAGCAGTTGAGGATGGCCCAAAGCCTTGGGACCCTGCACCCATGTGGGAGACCTAGAAGAAGCTCCTGGCTCCTGGCTTTGGATCAACTCAGCTCCAGCTGCAGTGTCCACTTGGGGAGTGAATCAGTGGACGAAGATCATCTTCTTTCTCTTCCTCTTTGTATATCTAACTTTACAATAAAAAAAAAAAAATCAAAGACCCGACTTTCAGTACACTTCCCTCACAAATCACAACACACAACTAACTACCTTTCAACAGCTAGTTTACTATCTGCACATCTCATGACTTGGTAGAGACTGTGTCCTAGCTAATTTTTATAGTAGCTTTGTGTTTGCATGTGCATGTCGAGGGATGAGCACTGTGCGGCAGCAGGGCAATGCCAGCAACTCCATGTAGGGGCTGGCTCATGTCCTGTTCTGCTTCCCATCCTACTCCCTGCTAATGCACCTGGGAAAGCAAAAGCTCCTGGCTTCCATCTGGCCCAGCGCTAACCATGCTGGCCACGTGGGGAGTGAGCCAGCACCTGGAAGATCCCTCTCTGTCTGTCCTTCTCTCTGTAAATCTGCTTTCCAATAAACAACTCTTGAATGTGTATGTCTAGATCCACCACCTAACCCTGCAGAACGTTCTCTTGGTCACCCTAAAACTTTATGCCTGGAACAAAACTTTACAGAGCAGGTGCTGTAGCAAGCATTGAAAGAAGGTTCTACCTTGATCCTCTCTATCCCCACGTCTGGTTTGATGAGCTTTCCCAAGAGCTGGTTTTCCTGTGGTTTCCTCGTCTTCTTTCCCGTCTCAGGACAAAGAATGGAGTTACACACTCGCACCGCAGTTTTATACTGGAACGAGGGCACAGCCATCAAACTCTCCAGGTTTGGAAACGGCCCAAACTTTTCTCGGTGCTCGACGATATGGACGGACTTTCTTCCCCGCAGTAACTTGAAAGCTTCCAGGTCCTTACTAGTGGCTGTATTCAGCACCTGCAAGATGGAGGCTTGCTGTTCAGGAGAGAAGAGCTTGTCAAGTGTGCTGTCCGGCTCCTTCGCAGCTTCATCACAGAAACCCACGTTAGGAAGATCGCCTTTTGCTGTGCTGGATTTTTCCCGAAAGCAGGAATTCTGCAGGGCCTGGAACACAGATGACCTCCATGGAACTGGAAAACACCTCCATCTTCCTTGAAAGGAAAATTGAGCAGAATGGAAGTTGGGTCCCCTGCAAAGTGTAACGTAGACTGGCACTCTTTAAGTGGCCCCTATTTAACTCCCCTGAAGAATCAGCTTTAATTTAGAATTACAGATCTACAATGTTTAAAATTAAGGGTTTCAAAAAACGGTGAAAATCATATCTATTCTGACTTTGAGGGATCAATCCTAAATTTTACTAGCTAGAAACTATTTCATACCTATCTAGGGGACGTAAATGCTTGATGCTGTTAACGGTAGGGCTGGGGAATGGGGGTCAGGGATCCCCCAAAGTCTAGGAAGGAGAAGCCCAGCTGGAGCTCCGGGGTCGGGGCCGAGGGCGGACGGACGAGGACCGCGCAGGCCGAGCACCCTACCTCCCGCCGCGAGGACCCAAGGGACGCGCATCCTCCCCGATACACCAGCAGGAGCCCGCGGGACAGGCTTCCGCCATCGGCTTCCGCCTCCTGCGTGCTCCGCCCAAAAGAGTCCGGCCTCTTGGCGGAAGCACCACGGCCTCAGTAGAAAGATTCCGGCCCCAGCGGCGCTTCGGGGTCTGGACTGAGGACTTCGCTGCCGGACGCTGGATTTGGCCTGCTGCCTGGATCCCGAGCTCTCCCGGGTGTCCCTCAGAGGGTACCCAGTGCTTCGGGGATCTCGGCGAGAGCGTTTCCTCAAAGTCTGAGGCTCGAGGTCCCGGAAGGAAGCGCCTGGAGCGCGTCTGTGGTTCCCAAGGTGCCCGCGTGAGGGACGGGCGGACGAGCGTCCGCTGCCCAGGATCCCCCTGACTGGAGTCCCGCCGCAGGCCTGACAGAGTGAACTCTGAACAGGCAGAATGAGGAGCCGGAGGCTGTCGCTCGGTTCCTGGACTGCCTGAGGGAGTCCGGGCGGCGAGCCTCCCAGAAGGGCGTGGGGACGTGTGAGGGGTCTGCTTAGTGGTCAGCAGCAGTGGGCAGACGGGCTCTGACTGTGCTGGCAGGGCCCGGTGGTCTCCAGGTCGGTCAGCGACGACTGCGTGGCACCCCTCAAAACCGAGCCGGGTGGCAGGATGCCAGCCTTGGAGGGCGTGTTCAAGTGTGAGGCTTGGATGCAGGAACCCTAGAGGGCCAGCGTGGTCTTTGCATCTCTCCCTTAGTTTGTGGAGTTCATTTTCAGTTAAGTTGAATGTATACACAGAGTGTATTTATATGATATGTATTTGAAATACATGTTGAAAGATGTGTTTATTTTTATGGAAAGGCAGATTTACAGAGAGGAGGGAGGAAGATCTTCTCTCCACTGATTCACTCCCAAAGTGGCCGCAACGACCAAAGCTGAGCTCGTATAAAGACACAAACCAGGTGCTTCTTCCAGGTCTCCCACTCGAGTGCAGGGTCCCAAGGCCTTGGGCCGTCCTCCACTGCTTTGAGACCACAAGCAGGGAGCTGGCAGGGAAGTGGAGCAGCCGGGACATGACCTAGCGCCCATGGGAGATCTTGGCGCATGAGGATTTAGCCACAATGCTATCACACTGGGCCCTGTAATATATATTTGAGAGGCAGAATGAACTAGAGAAAGGTACAGACAGATGTAGAAATCTACTGGTTCATTGCAGGGCCTGACTAGGCTACAGGCAGGAGCCAGGCGCTCTATAAGCCTCCCCCATGTGGGTGTCGGGAACTAAGTAATTGTAACAAGAATGGAAAGAAAAGAACTCTCTTTGGGGGATGGGGAGACTAGCCAGTTTTGTGAAAAACAGGGAAATCAGGAAGGCAATGTGATGAATTTGTCTTTTTATGGGGAAGCAATGAGCTATTTGTTTTGATATTGTCTGGGAGACAGTGGAGGTGTGTGGAGTCACAAGCTTTAATAAGAATGATCAGGCTTGGGCCCAGCGTGGTAGCCTAGCAGCTAAAGTCCTTGCTTTGCACGTACCAGGATCCCATATGGGCGCTGGTTTTAATCCCAGCAGCTCCACTTTCCATTCAGCTCCCTGCTTGTGACCTAGGAAAGCAGTCGAGGACGGCTCAAAGCCTTGGGACGCACCCATATGGGAGAACTGAAACAAGTTCCTGGCTCCTGGCTTCAGATCGGTGTAGCACCGGCTGTTGCAGTCAATTGGAGAGTGAATCATTGGATGGGAGATCTTTCTCTCTGTCTCTCCTCCTATCTGTATGTCTGACTTTCCAATAAAAATAAATAAAACTTCAAAAAAATAAGAATGCTCAGGCCCGGCACAATAGCGTAGTGGCTAAAGTCCTCACCTTGCATGCCGGGATCCAATATGGTTACTGATTTTAATCCCCGCGGCCTTGCTTCCTATCCAGCTCCCTCCCTGCTTGTGGCCTGTGAAAGCAGTGGAGGACAGCCCAAGGCCTTGGGACCCTGCACCCGCGTGGGAGATCTGGAAGAGATTCTGACTCCTGGCTTCAGATTGGCTCAGCTCCAGCCTTTGTGGTCACTTGAGGAGTGAAACATAAGACGGAAGATCTTCCTCTCTGTCTCTCCTCTCTGTATATCTGACTTTCCAATAAAAATTAAAAATAAATATTTTTTTAAGATTTTTTTTATTATTTTTTTTATTGGAAAGGCGGATATACAGAGAGGAGAGACAGGAAGATCTTCCATCCGATGATCCACTCCCCAAGTGAGCGCAATGGCCGATGCTATGCCGATCCGAAGCCAGGAGCCTCCTCCAGGTTTCCCATGCGGGTACAGGGTCCAAAGCTTTGGGCTGTCCTTGACTGCTTTCCTGGGCCACAGGCAGGGAGCTGGAAGGGAAGCGGGGCTGCCGAGATAGAACCAGCGCCCATATTGGATCCCGGGCGTGCAGGGTGAGGACATTAACCACTTGTGCCACCGCGCCGGGCCCAAAAAATAAATCTTTAAAAAAAAAAAAAAAGAATGATCAGGCACAGTGCAATGACTTAAATTGTCTAATCCTCCCCCTTGAAGTGCCAGTATCCTCTGTGGGCACTGGTTCATGTCCCAGCTGCACCACTTCCCCATCCAGCTCCCTGATTAAAGCCTGGGAAAGCAGTGGACAATGGTGCAAGGCCTTGGGACCCTGCACCGGCATGAGAGACCCAGAAAAGTTTTAGGGCCCCTTGGCTTTGAATCGGTTCAGCTCCAGCTGTTGCGGCCACTTGGGGAGTGAACCAGCGGATGGAAGGAAGCTAGTGCATGAGGTTATGAGGAGTTAGGGTGCTGCATTTGGAGACGGCATGGTATGCTCGTGGGATACAGCTCAGCACTTACTAACAACATCCCTTTGTAGTTATCCTTTCAACCTCACCTACCTTGTCTGATATGGAGAGTGTGGTACCCACCTCATGGTGCTGCTGGGAGGATGCAGAGACGTAGCTTTTAGTAAGGATGGTAAATGTTCACAATCCCTGTGGTGTTCGGGTCTTTTGGCTAGGATCAAATATAAATGTTTCTTTTCCCATCCAAGTAAGGTCTCTTCATGTGCACTAAGTATGAATGCCTGTGGGAGTCTTCTCTTTCTTCAGAGGAGTCATTCGGAACTAAATTGGACCGATGCTGGTGGTGGCTGGGAAAGAGGCCGCCACTGTGATTCTCCCACATAAAAGTCATTCTCCCCCAGACACTAGCTCACTCTCACTTCCTGTTCCTCTCACCCAGATGCTGAGGTATCCCTGACTCAGCTAATGTTGGGATGGGGGTAACAATGAAAGTCAGTACCCTGGGCTCCAGTGTTGGGACATAGCAGGTTGAGCCCTTGCTCGGGGCACCCACACCCCTGTGTTGCTTCCCATCAGGCTCCCTGCTTGAGCACACCCAGGGAAGCAACAGGTAATGGTTCAACTTCTTGGGCCCCTGCAACCCATGTGGGAAACGCAGGTGGAGTTCCTGGCTGATGATGTCATCCTGGCCCAGCCCAGGCTGTTGTAACCATCTGGGGAGTGAACCAGCAGGTACAGGATCTCTCTCTCACTTTTTCTTCCTGTCTCCCTCTTTCTCTGCAAGCCCGAATTTCAAATAAATACATCTTTAAAAAAATGTTCAATTTCATTAGTTATCAAGGCAAATCAAAATTGTGATGCTGCTGCAGGCCGTGAGAACAACTGAAAGGGAGACAGTCACTACCGAAAAATCAGTGTTGGCAAGGGTATGAAACAACTGGGAGGTGAAGTTGAGACATGCTGATGGAAATGTGGGTTGGTAGCATCACTTTGAAAAATTATTGGGCAATAGCTACTAAAACTGAATGTATATATTATGCCTAGTGACTCAACACACTGACCCGTGGGTGTACCATTGACAGAATGCTAACATATGTACATTAAAAGACTTTCAATAGGTTGAGCTGTTTCAAACTGCCAATATTTGACAGTTATTATAAAGAAGGGCACTTTTGTTATTATTTTTTATTTGAAAGGTGGAGTCACAGAGAAGAGAGACAGAAAAAAACACAAACATCTTTATCCCCTGACTCACTCCCCAAATGGCCACAATGGCTGGAGATGGGCCAATCCAAAGCCAGGAGCCAAAAGCTTCCTGCAGGTCCCCCATGTGGGTACAGAGTCTCACGGCCTTGTGCCATCCTCTACTGTCTTCCCAGGCCGTAAACAAGGGGCTGAATCAGTGGAGCAGCCAGTATATAAACCAACACCTAGGTGGGATGCTGGTGCCACAGGCAGAGGCTTGGCCAACTGCATATGGTGCATGGTTAGAACTAATTATTGGAGTGGTCATAACAATAATATTTGCATTAGCCAAATCACAGGCTATTTTAGCTCCAAGTAACTTTGCATATGTTAAATAAAGTTTAGCTCTACCCTGCAATGGAGATGAATCCTACACAGATTGCAGAACGAAGTCAGCCTCTTACCTCCAGGAGGCAGGATGTAGCTCCAGGTCCTGAACCTGCGTACTGTGATACAGGACGTGGGCATGGAAACTGCCAGACAAAAGGCCCGCCACGGATGTGGATTTCTTATGTTTACCACTCCTCATTCCATGTTTAGGTAGCAAACATCCCCCTCAGTGGCAGGCAGGTGTTGGGGATACAGCAGAGAACATGACTGGCCTCTCTCCTGTTTCCATAGAGCTTAATCAACTAAGGAAAATCAGTGAGTGACCACAGTATAGGAAGGAAAGTGGAAATGCTTCAAAACAAACAGTGATTGTATTTTAACATTATGTATAACAGCATGAAATTGTTCACCATCTTTATGTCCAATACTAAGGGAATACCCATCTGCCATGAACTCTCACACTGTTGAGTGGTGTTGTAGATGGAGGTGTCTGGCATAGCAGTTAAATGCCCATATCCCATATGGGACCACCTCAGGTTCAGCCCTGCCTCTGGCTCCCTATTCTAGCTTCTTGTGTATGTAGATCCTGGAAGGCAGTCGTGATGGCTCAGTACATTGATTTCCTTTTTTTTTTCTTTGTCTTTTTTGTTTTACTTTGTATTTCCTTTTAAATATTCGTGTTTTTTTTTTTTTTTTTGGAAAGGCAGAGCAGACATACAGAAAGAAGGAGAGACAAGCAGA